CAGCAGCACAGTCAGCTGCACAGGATCCATACGGTACAAGGCCCTCACGGACCAGGAGCCCACGGGCATCGTGAGGGTAGAGGCTCACCCCGAGAACGCCAAACCCATCGTCCAGCCGCCATCCACAGACGGGAGTGGCTCGTGGCGCTGGAAGTCACATGAGCGTGGAAGCATCCGGCAGTCATTCGAGCTCAATGACCTCAACAGGGACTCTGAGAGTTGTGAGTCCCTCAAAGATAGCTACTGCTCCAGCGGCGGGAAGAGGGGCAATCCTGATCTCACCGGTGAGCACCCACTTCATCATCACCATCACCACCAAGGCATCACCACCATTCGGGTGACCCCGGTGGAAGGCAGCGAGGCCGCATCCGAGACCCTCTCCATCGCCTCCAGCCGGGACTCCACCCTTCGGAGGAAAGGCAACATCATTCTCCTCCCGGACCGAGGCAGTAGCCCCGACAACACCAGGAACATCTTCTACAAACCAACTTCACCGACTCCGATATTCAAAGAGTGAGCCATCCTCACTCCATCCCCCCTCCCCAAATGTGTGGCCTTGATTATCGGAGTTACTCAAGAATAACGGAGGGATGGACCGGTTGAAGCTCGCGGTCTTGGGGATCTCCGTATCTACCTGCGCTTTATGGTTCCGTCATCCATCGCCATCTCCTGACAAACAGTGCTTATCCGCCCAACCTACAAGCGTGTTGGTGCAGGCATTTCAGTTTGGCTTTTGCCATTAGCACTCTAGGCCCAAGTGCCACGTTTTACATAAAAATTTGCTGCACATTATCGGAGGGAGGATTTAAATTAGAGTTTGATACTAATGTAGTTAACCTGCAAAGCTTTCTGATGGTTTTTACGTGACATTTCATACGTATTTTTAATAGTTTGCTCTTTTAGCGCCTCTGTCTTAGCATTAATTCCTATTTAATGCCGATATTATGCTTGTTGCACTTACTCTAGTGACCTTTAGGTGCTTTTCAAAAATAATTTCGTACCATGAGATAAAACAGACAGATTTTATATTTTTGAAACTGTAAATATTTATACGACTGGTGTTGAGGCACCATCCTATTCAGATTTGCCATTACTTATCATTAATAATTGATATTTAAAAATAAATTAATGTTTATGTAAAATTATATGTTATCCTTCAGTATTGCAGGAAGTTTCTGAAGAACAAGTAAAAGAGGTTTTTTTTGACTTTATCACTAAAAACAACACAACTGCCTAAACCAATTTCCTGTGAGAGGATAATGACTAAAATGTGTATTTATCACCATGTGGAATATTTATGTGTATATTGTGAGAAGTGCTCTTGACCAAGACCATTACCTAACCAACCTGACAAATTCGTTCTGTTATAATGCACTTAAGGAAGTCATTTACACAATATCAGTACATGTAAATAGCTAGCAGCTTAACTTGTCAGTGGTTCCGCTGATTAGTTTGTGTGCCGTAGAAAGAAGCATCACACGTGAAAATGGAACTATTTGAGGAAGGAGAACGTTCCAAAGAAAACTGTTCCAGCTACACATTGACCTTTTTTGTTTACATCATTATGTATCAGCTCGTTATCAGAGCATTATCAGCGCAAATCAAACACACATCCTTTAACGTAAATGTACACCTTCCCTTTCAGTTTTCTTCCCATGTTTTCCATTAGCTGGAGAGAAATGCAGAGACTGGGCATGTCGACTCCTTCCACGTTCTCAGTGTGGTGTCGTGAGTGATGTACCGTAATGTAGGTACTATAGAGAAGCATAAATTCTTGAAGTATTATACGTATTCTGCATTCCTCTAAAATGACTAACACAATTATCATTGTGGCACAAGTTCTTACAGCATCAACATGCATAAAGTGAGTCCAGTGCTAGTGAGGCTCATGCCACCCATTCGTCCCTCCTTCAGCAGTGAACCGTTTACTGTTACTTACAAACTGGCAAAATTCAAGCTAACTGGCATTAGCTTAAATTGTACATACCTGTTGCTGGAACTGTAACAAGCTGCAACTTTGAAACTTTAAACCTTTCAGTGTCCACGCAAGACAGCAAACAATTTTAGTCCTCTCTCTGTTATTAATTTTCACACTGAGAAGCTGGACGCAAACTTGCAAGGAATGTAGAAAATTACGTTTCTCTTATTTGTGTTGCGTTATAGAATGGTGAGCTATATAAACCATATTAATGGATCCATTTTTACTTCAATTGAGAATCTATATTATTTTTGTGCTTTTTTTAAATTCACTTTTAACTTTAGTGATATAATGATGTAATTATATTTTGATAGAGTGTATATGTGCCAAAGGGTTTATTAAAGACAAAATACTGTAACTGAAGTTTTATATATGCCTGCATTCTGATATCTACCATGATCATATAACTGCATGGTCATTTGATATTTAACAAAAGGCGCATTTTTTTGTAAATTATGGCATTAATAGGCATTGGCTGGTACCTTCATTTATACTTACAATGGAATCACTTTAACAACTGTTTAATCTTTTTACTACTGCTAATAATATTTGCAAGTCTGGCAGAAAAGGGGAACAAAAAGGGACAAATTCACATGGAGACGTATAGGAGGAAGATAAATGCATGAAAAAGGAACTATTTGTAGATATACTTCTATAGAATGTAGGGCATCATTCAGTGGTACTTTGCCAATGAACATCTACATAATGTTAGCTTTTGTTGGCTGGTGTTTTGAAACAATCAATGGCTCTGTAAGTGCTTCAGCAACACAACCTTGTGAACGCATCCAACACATGAACCCCGGAACCTTCCGCTGATGCTCCGGATAGCTCACCATGAGCATTTCGGGGTTGACGTGAGAAGAATTGTGTATTGTCTGAATATTTGAAATAAATGTTTGCTATCGAAACAAAAAACACGCTTGCTGGCTTTACTTTGACGTGGTTTGGAGGGGAGGGCACCCTTCATCCCTGAGGAAAATCTCACAGCCTGACATTTGAAGCTATGCTGTTTTCCCTACATCCAGCTAGATGGACATCCTTCCCTATTGAATGTAGACTGAAAACTGGACAACAGCAGGATGGCGGCATCTGGTCACTTGGATCAATCCATCCAAGCCAGAGTTTCCTGTGAGAACGTTGTCCTTACCATTCTTCCTACCCAAATGTTTATGGCGGGGGTGGGCAACCTTATCCAGAAAGGGCTATTGCGTATGCAGGTTTTCGCTGCAACTCCTTGATGAGACTACTAATTAGAGGACTGATTGGCTGATGAGTTCTCACACCTGCGTTTGAGCAGCTGACCTACAGGTTATCCCCAAAACCTGCATACACACTGGTCCTTTGTACACCACACTCCACGACTGCTTACAGACAAAAGGCCAACATATTCTGCTGCTTACACATTTTCCATGTATTGTTTTATGGCTGTAGAGTTTACTGTGACTGTCTCTGTTAATCTCACACTTGCAAGCGCAAACAACATGCGCAATAAATGAGAACACTTGCTTGCTGAAGTACTGACCATTCTGAGGTCCAGGGTAGGTCAAGAAATTGACCTTAAGTAAGAGTGAGCACTGATTGGACAGATTAAAATTGATTACTGAAGATCAAACTTGGTGTGCTGGGGGTTCAGGTTTAACCGATTAGTGATACTTTATTAATCCAAGTGGGGAAAATCACCCTATCTTGCTCTCCATGTGACACACATGCAGGTGGGAGCAAGCTGGGGGGGGGGGGTCACAGTGAAGGGCAGCCACCTTGTGACAGAGAGCTGGGGGTGCGGGGCCTTCCTCAAGGGCCAAAAGACATGCCAAGGTTGGGCCTCAAACCTGCAACCATCCGATCACAGACATGGGCGCTTTTCCACCGCACAAAGTAAGGTACTTTTGGTACAGTACTTTCGCTTTTCCATTGACTTCCGGTCGAGTACCAGTACCGAAAGTTAAAGTACCGAAAGTACCAAACCAGTTGGGGTACTTCTTTGGTACTTCGGTACTTTGGGGTGGGACTTGCAAACGTATTTGCTGTCAATTGATTATGCAAATAGCCTGCCGCTAAAACACAAAATACAACCGCCATCTTTTGAAACACACAGCGAGAAACAAAATAAAAAGCAGTAGAAACAAATATATAAAAAAATAAAATGGAAGGATGGACAAACGAGGAAACACAGGCTTTAATCGCCATATGGTTGGATGAACAGATCCAGTGGGATTTGGGTGGCACGACTCGAAATAAAAAAGTTTTTGCCGTTTTCCTATGTTTCCCCGGTCGCGCGCTGATTTGTACACGGTGACGGTTTCGCTGTTGTTTTCTTGAGGTAAACAAGCCATATATTAATTTTAAAACATCACATGCCTTTTCTATGTTTTTTGTTTTTACAGATAAGAAATGAAATTACTTAATTGGCTGGATAGAGATATTTCTTGAAGAAAACGGTATAGTATTGCTTATAAGACTATATTATGCGTGACGATCTACTGTATTTACATGTAATAATGTACCTGAGTGATTTTCAGACATTTCACATATCTCTTTGCTTTAATATTAGGGGAAACATTATTTCCTGATAGACAGGAGAAACATAGGGAAACTGAATTGCCCGGAATACCGTAATACCAAGCCGCTTGGAAGAAATGGGGCACTCGCGAAACACAGAACAATGCCGCTTGAAAATCAAAAAACAAAATTAAATAATTTGTTTGCTTTCAAAAGACTGAATTAGCAGTAAGCTAATTCTTACTGCTTCGATCAGCTTAGCCAAAGTAAGTGTACCTACGTAAACGTAATTGATTGCAGCATGATTTGGGATTTTACCGAATCTTATACTGTGATAGATACTGTGCTGACATAACAATAAACCGCATTTTCCAGCCTCAACTGTTAGTTATTAATTTTGGGCTGTCAGTCAGGGGCGGTCACTGACGATGTCATTTGGCGCCGGTACCATTTTTTACGCCAGTGGAAAACCGACATGAAAGAAGTACCAAACTTTAGGCACTTTATGGATGTACCGAAAGTACGGTACCTGGTGCGGTGGAAAAACGCCCTAGGCTCTGCCCTCTGAGCCACACACTGCCTCCTAAAGGAGGAATGAAAGGACACACCTAACCCATAGAAAGGTTTATTTGTACTATTCTCTACATTTTAGAACAGGGGTCGGGAACCTATGGCTCGCGAGCCAAATGTGGCTATTTTGATGGCTGCATCTGGCTCGCAGACAAATTTCAAGTTTTCAATCCATTCATTTCCTACCGCTAATGTTCATGGTTGCGGGTGGCTGGAGCCAATCACAACTGTCCTCCGGGACAACACCAAATTTTTATTGGATAAGGCGTAACGTACACCGGTCGTTGTGAGGTCAGGAAGGTAACTTCCCTCCTTTTAATCAAGTAGTCAGCTAGCTAATTGCAGAAACCCTTTTATCGAAGATGGCTAAAAGAAAAAAAGATGAGGAGTATCGTGCTTTTCAGCAGGAATGGAAAGAGGAATTCGCCTTTGTGGAGAGAGCAGGTTCTGCAGCGTGTGAGTATTGCTGAACTGACAATGTTTGGCTCTACATATGCATGTGAGCAGTCCTTGACTTCTTCTCACATCTAAAGAATATTAAGACCTACCTACGATCACGTTCAACGGATGGAAGTCTCAACGCCTGCATGAAGCTTAACCTCACCACGTATCAACAAGACTACAAAGCCATCAGCAAAACCATGCAGCACCAGAAGTCGCATTAATGGTAAGAAGTACTTTATTCATCATTGGTTAGCAACAGCATAACAACGTTATTAAAAAGAATTCAGAGACTTATTGTACTTTAAAAGTGTTGGTCTTACATAAAATGCACACATTTACTTCAAGTAAATACTTGTATTTAGTTTTAAACAAATTGTATGGCTCTCACGGAATTACATTTTAAAATATGTGGCGTTCATGGCTCTCTCAGCCAAAAAGGTTCCCGACCCCTGTTTTGGAATAATAATAAAGACATCGAAACTAAAAAGTAACATATATGAAATTATATGTTGGGCCCTTGAGCAAAACCCGTAACCCCAGTTGCTCCAGGGACCAGCTGATCCTACTGTCTCCCCTACGGCAGTTTCATGAGGTGGCCTCCTGGGATGCTTTTATAGCTGTCCTGAAGGAGGTCCCATGTATATGCTGAATACTCATTGGCTGCTTTTCCTTCACTTTCTGGTCAAACTCCTCCAAAACCACTATGTTTTGGTCAGTTGCAGGCAGCTGGGTGTGTCCAAACTTTTGACTGGTACCGTGGTTTGAATACGATGTCCAGAGTGTAGCACCTTACTAAAACAGAATAGTTATTAGTTTATTAATGTCTATACCAAACACTATACCAAATGTATGGAGGAAGTGGTGTATGTCACATAATTGGTCCATTTAGGCCCATGCCCAGATGCATGGCGTCTGATTGCTCCCTGAGGGGGTGACTGGAATGCAAGCTCACTGATTGGTCCATTAAGCCCACACCGACATGTCTGAATTAAACTTTGATTAATCATATAAATTTTTGAGCATAAAAAAAATATTTTTAAATTAATAACATAAAATCACTTTGACTTGGGTAAAACTGACAAAAAGCTGTCAAATGAGTTTTAATTGCACATGTATTGTCATAGACATTGTTCAAATAAATTCCTGATAGATACCTGATGTACCTGTAAACAAACAGAGGGGTTTTGACTGGGGAGATTTCCCCGGTCATATGTTTTGCATTCTAATGGCCTGGAATATTGCTACTGGTTTACAGATAAAAGAACTGATTTTCTTAATGGATTCTGAAAATATAAAACAGGAAACGGGACACAGCAAGCGGGGACTTGTACATTCATCTTTAACAATATACTGCAATTCTCCTTCCTCAATAATGTAAATTTTGCAGCACAAGGTACTGAACAATTACCCTGTTTATCCATGACTACCAAAATAGTATGAACACAAGCAGTCTTTCTACAGAAAAACCCCAGCACAGAGTCAGTCACTGACAGCACTTCAAAGTCAGACAGCTTCCACCCAGATCCCAGGTGCCAGAGCCATCAACACTATGCCAAAAATACAATCAGCTGAGAGTGGCATCTCTGTTGCATCATTGGTCCATTTGGTCCAAATGCATGCCCAGACTGACACAAGTGGCATCTGATTGGTCCCTCAGGCCAGGATGGAAATGCGTGGTCACCGATTGGTCCCTGATGCCCAGGCCGACAAGCTTGAATGAGTCTGCCCTCACGCCCCACTGGGAAAAATTACTCCTGCCCACATGCCTCTGCTGGCCAAAGCAGCACTAAAATGACAGGGGACAAATGTTTCCAGTGTCCCCGTGTGATGCTTGTGAAGCACAGACAAATCCAAGGTTACAGCTCCAGAATTATGCAATCACCACCCATTGTGCTCCAGACCACATCATTTCTCAACAGACTAATATTTACTGTAAAGAACTGACATGCTATCCTGAGGGCAAAACAGACAAATTTCATCACTATCTACTGTATGATAAATCAAAGGTCCAAGATGCGTAAACAATCCAAGTAAATTGACTAAGAGGATCGAACGACTCTGTGCAACGGTATCTATCAAAATACGGAGGAGCCGTCTAACCCTAACCACCCCAGCAAATGAACTGGATGTTTCATACTTAAATCAGTGCTTTAACCTCAATAATTCAGCAACCCATGATGTTTACCTCTTTTTATTGTTTTACAGTTTTGTTTTGTTTTGTTTTCAATGATTATAAAGAAGCTGGCTCACTGTCCTTCCACACAGCAATTAATCACCTCCAAAAGCACTGGAAAAGATGTGTGAAAACCATGAGAAACAAAAAAAGTAGCTGGCTTCATTTCAAACTACACGTTTCTCGTTGCTTAAAATAAAATGACTAACACTAAGTTACTGAGGTCTGCTTTGCTTTGCTTTGCTTTGCTGGACCATCTTTCTGTACACGCAGCCGTATTTAATCACTGACTACCCAACACAACTACAGCAAACTTACAGACATCACAAACAGCTTTCTCACTTAAACTTCATTATAGGAGCAGAGGAAGTGTGTTAGGACGGCACGTCCGTGCGCACAAGATCCACGGCCATCTGCCTTAGTGTGGATCCAGTGTCCGACTGGGCGAAAAATCTATTTTTTTTTTCTAGCTGGAGGGCCGTGCGCGTAGTCACGCCGACCAAGCGGTTGGGTTTGGGACACAGCGTGGGCATGTGGGGAGAGCGCCCCCGCAAGCAGAGTGGCTCATAATCGTCACATGTTGCACAGGTGCAGTTTTCCAACATGACATGACCTAACACTGCCAATAGTGAGGGGAATTTGTATGTTCTCACACCTGATATTTGCTGTTAAATATCGTGTAATCAGTACCCCAGTATGTGTAAACCCCCCTTTTACTTTTACTGCAGATAATAAAAGAACCATTTAACAAATCTAATTCAGTTTGTTACCTGGGGCTAAATTACCCCATAATCCTGCTTTTTTTGTAATGCAAAATCCATCTTGATACCTGTTTGTTACCAACTTGCAGGATTGAATGACATAAGCATACACAAATATCACAGCATTAAAAATAAATAAAACAGCTGCATTTGTGCAAAAACGTGTAATAAGCAAAGTCGCTGCATTTTTGATGCAGATTTATTAAAAACACCTTCACCACAGCCCCATGCTTCCAGAGAGGCACATACGGGTGTCCTATTTAATCGTTGCGTTTACTGAATCCACGCGTAGTGCGTTTACCGTGGCGGTAATGTTGCCATGGCAACAGGAGAGCACTTGCAAGACAAAGCGTTCCAATCAAAGCAACGTCGAGGATAAATATATATGCGGGGCTTTAACAAAAGCCTCGAAGCCGGAATTTATGGCGTGATTTCGGAGCGTGCTGCTTTCTAGATAAAATCAGGGCATCTTGAGAAGTTGCTTATATCACTGTGCGTTCATTTTCTGTATGCCTTCATTTCTATGATCATCCGATTTGTTTTTACTCATTCACAATCACAGTATCGTTATGCTAAGGAGACGAACATCAATAACATTTCACATAATATCCTGTCCAGCGTTTACTCAAGCCTTGTGCCCTGTACTGGGTGGGACAAGCTCCAGCCCACCCTGACCAGAATAAATGGATGGAAGATGGATAAATAGCAGGCATGTGTGTCCGCTTTCCCATAATGATTTTTGAGGTTCTAAGTGTGCCTGTTTGATAACCTAAGAGCCCCCCCCGGACTATCCAGTTGGCAAAATTACCTTGAGGACACTGTCCTGACCCTCTAGCACCTTCCCCTCAAAAAGACTGTGGGACTGATAAACAGATATGTCACGTGTACATATGAAAACTGTGTTTTCCATCCATCCATCCATTGTCCAACCCGCTTATCCTACTGGGTCACGGGGGGTCCGGAGCCTATCCCAGAAGCAACGGGCACGAGGCAGGGAACAACCCTGGACGGGGGGCCAGCCCATCGCAGGGCACACTCGCACACCATTCACTCACACATGCACACCTAAGTAGAAATGATTCCCAGATTCTCCATGAAACTGCTCTGAATATGTCGACAATCTTGATAATAAATCCAACAGGAGGATTAGCGGCCTTTCCATGATGTCAAAGCTGAACAGTATCAAGTCGAGCCGTATTCATGGCTTGAAACTGCAGCTCTGCTTTGATACTGATGCGCTTTTTTCTCCACATTTGCCAGCTTGCATAATCGGAGCTGAGCTTCACACATAATGATTCAGGACACTATTGTCTCTATCAGGCACCATAGGTACATACTCTGGTATTTCACCCACACCTTCCAAGCCCAATCAACGGCACCAGGGAGCCAACTCATTTGGTCTGGAAGTGAATTATTCTACTAATTATGGGACTTTCAAACAAAGAGGAACAATTATCCGAGTCTCGTAGTGCCATCCCAGCTGACATTAATCAGAAAAACCCATCATTCCGTTGGTGAAAGGCATGTTTCACGGAGCAGACAAAATATCACACAAGCAGCTGGAATCTCTACACATAGCCCCTCGTCGGCGGGAGGGAATTAAATAGAACCACAAAATACGCCGTGGGGAAACCATACCATATAAGGCACAATCAAGCACGTCCTAGCAAGAGAATGACACCAGGAACCCCCTGAGGGACCACACCAGCGGGGCCACACCAGCACGCACACTAAGATCACTAAGCAGTAGAGGTGAGACGTCAAGCTCGACCCTTTATAAGCACAGGCTTTTACAAACTGCTAGTGCTAATTTTCTTTGCCTACGTGCTCACAGTCTTTTAATGAAGTTTGTGAAGGAGGTTTGCAAAATCTTGCCGATGCACTAATCAGACATACTGAACTAATTAACCCCCAAACCCATTTGTTTCACATCAGATGTTAACAGAATCCCGACACCATTATCCTGTTGACTGGCTTTCTTTAAGGAACATTTTATTATCACTTAAAATCACCTTTTATATTTCCTATTTTTCAGCAAAGAATGTTTACAATACATCAAACTTTGCATTTAATCATTCTGCCTATCTGAAGTGAATGAATGAAAGTTACATTTATATAGCACTTTTCAAGACACCCAACCAATAGGGAGCTGCTTCAACCACCACCACTGTGTAGCCCCTACCTGGATGGTGCCATTTACCAGTACACTCACCACACAGTAGCCAAGGTGGTCAAGAGGCAGGAGAGAATTCACTGATTAGATTTATGAGATGATTAGGCAGCCAGATCTGATAGGGCCGCAGTGGGCAATTTTAGCCAGGACATCAGGGTACCACCCCTACTCTTTCAAAAGATGCCCAGGGGTCCTTTATGACCTCCGAGAGTTGGGACCTTGGTTTTACGTCTCAACTGAAGGGCAGCACCATTTTTACAGCACAGTATCCCCGTCACTACACAGGGACACTGGGATCCACACAGACCACAGGATGGGCTCCCCCTGCTGGCTGCACCAACACCTCTTCCATCAACAACCCAACTTTTCTAGTCGGGCTGCCATCCAAGTACTGACCAGGCCCAAACCTGCGTAGCTTCAGGTGGATTACTTAGTCTGAACTGTGGGGGGTGTGGCTGCTGGCAGAAGTCTACCATCCATCCATTCATCCATCCATCCATCCATTTTCTGGAACCACTAGTCCTATTCAGGGTAGCAGGGGGGCTGGAGCCTATCTGGCCCATTTTTAAGACCTTTCCAAAGATGTTCTGTGAGCAACATGTCAGTGCCACTCATGAAAGGTAGCTAAAGTGTTCATTTTTTTCTTTTTGGTTTCAAAGATATGGCTGAAGAATATACTGTGGTTCCCATCATACTAAATTAGAGACATCTGCAGTAATTGAAATATTATATTGATTTAATTTCATCGATGCAAATCCTTACTAACGTTTATTTCCAGTGGAAGAGGTCTCTAAGGACAGGCGGTTCATTCTGCACCTCCATGCTTCCATTCAGAAAAAAAGAAGAAAAAAAAATGCAGGATGCCACATAGATCTCAATTTAAAAGCAAGCGACATTCTTGTGGCAAAATTCATTAGGGATCCTTTAAAATAGGACAACTGCTTGGAATGTAGGTCAGGCCAAGGGAGAGTCACGCCAAATGTTGTGAATGAAAGAAGCATGTGCAGCCTCAGGAAGAATTACCGACTTGAACATAGCCTGCCATGAAATTTAAAGGGACATCCCACAAAAAAAAAATCCTCCCTCATCTTTCAGCATCAGCGCTCTGAATCGAATGCAACTTACTGTACTAGCACTGCTGCGATGCTTTATGACCATTCAGGCTCGCCGATCCTGACAGCGATAGCTGAGTTATGTGTTAGATGAGCAATTGTGTTTGCCCGTCACTAGAGGATACGTCTATTAAACCCCCGGTTGAAAACGAAGTGGGTCAGTTCGGGCCAGTGTGAGCCAATGACTTAACGACAGAAACTGACAAACTACCGGCACAGATGCTTCTGCTCATAGTCCTGCCTCGGTGATGCCCTGGAGCTACTGAGACATTAGCCGCTCCACACCACCCAGGATTCCCAGGTCAAGTGACCATCGGAAATGTGTTGCCTTCAGCTCGGCACATACTTCAAAGCTAGAGATGAAAGGAGTGTTACATTTAATGTAAATTAGACACGTGACCATTGAGGAGGAAGATATTTCAGTAGACCTTTTCCCAACCAAAATCAACATGCTAAGGGCATAACATTAGGATCTCTTTATCTTGTTACCGCATTCTTAAAAATATTGTGAGGTAGCTATATTGTCCTTATATGATAATAATAATAATAATAATAATAGAAATAGTATTGAACACGTTCATATTTTTCGTGAACGCTGAACTGAACAAATCAGTTTACAAATTGTGAACGTGAACATGAGTGACGCGAGACTGAACGTCGCTCACGTTTTATGACGGTTTTAAAGTTTGCCGATTACAGGCTAGCATGGCTGGTGCTTTGAGTTTGGTCGCTTCTGCGGAAGGCAGTTTGTATAAACATTTCAGTCCGTTTTTTGAAGAAATCGATGTAGAATTAGATAGGAAAAACCACACGAGGTTAACGAGGGGGCGTGGCACACAGGAGGATCGGACGAGCAGGGTATGACAATGGGCTTATACTTTTTAATTTGTTTGCACCACATTTACTTGTTTGCACTTTGTTTTGCACTATACGTATACTTAATGTACGTCTGTGCTCTGCATACTTGCTGCGGTTCGCACAACAATCTCAGCCGATATTTCTCCAATCTCCGATATCCCAACTGCTTCTATGATACACAGAGCCAGCCTCATGAGCAACTTGTCTCCAGGGTGACTAAGAACTTACGAAGGTAGGCTATCTCAGAGGCCGGTGATTGATATAGCGGCAGCTAGCCAGCCCCTCCTCGAGACTACTATATCACCCCTTACTCCCCAGCACGACGCATCCATTAAAATCAGGCCAAGCGAGAGCCGCACGGCAAGCAGCTCGGCACTCCAGCCTGCTGAACGAGCACATCGATTAATGACTGCACAAGCACCAGGGGATCCTTTCAAAAACAAGCCCTAGCATTTGTGTACTAGTAAGTACGTGACTGTGAAGTGTCACATAAAAGCATCATGCACCCACACAATGCATAATCCTTAATATACTAACCTCCGTGCTCAGTGATCTGGTAGCCATGATATGCTTTGTCTGCCTTTTTTAATTTATTTGCAAATACACTGATTAGCACTCAATCAATTAATTAAAATTTATTAGTTATAATACACTTGTTCAGAGGGGTGGAATGGTGGCACAGTGGTTAGTGCTGTTGCCTCATATGCCTCGGTCAGGGTTCGAGTCTCCACCTAGGGTCCATGTGTGTGGAGTTTTCATGTTCTCCCCATGTCATTGTGGGGTTTCTTCCAGGTACTCCAGTCCCCCCACAGTCTAAAATTGTGCTGATGTAAATTCGAGCTACCACGTTCCCTGTAGGTGTACATGTGTGAATGTGCCCTACAATGGGGGGGCAGCCCATCCTGGGTTGTACAGACCCACAAATCCCTGTAATTAGCTTAGCACACTTGCTACCACGGCACAATGACAAGTCATGTTTACATGTGGGCATTACAACCCAGGAGAAAATTCACATTTGCCACAAATAAAGAAGAGCATTAAACATTCATAAGCTGAGCTTCTCGTTCCAAATGCCGGTACCTAATATTATGGGGTAAATGTAGAAACATTTTACCTCTTCAATATAAAAACACACGCTCATCTACTTACGAATGAGATACGTTCCGAACGGCCGTTCGTAAATTGAAATATTCGTAAAACGTTATTCAACATCATTTTAATGGTATAAGTACAAAGAACTAGGATGCTGGAAGTACGCACGCAAAAAAAATTATGTTGCGGACAGGAAATGGGAGCCCGATGAACACAGTTTGGACTTACGGTCCTCTTCGTTCGTATGTCTGAAAGTTCGTAAGTTGAAAGTTTGTAAGTAGGGGAGCATCTGTATAAGTCCAATATATAAAGAAGGTTTCACATATCATGGTCCTCAATACGAATCACAATACAACATAAGCTAAATCCCAAACACATTGAGAGAGATGGCACAACTGCATGAGACAGTATGTCTAGTTCTGTTGTGTTTTTCTATGATAAAAATCAATACTGAAGCTGCAACCCCCCCCCCCCCCCCAAAAAAAGTGTCCACCATCCATAGTCATACATTTCCCATTCTATTCACATTCCCTAATCTGTTATTAATGCCTTGAATAGCACAGGGATTTTGAAAGGGTTGTACTCAAAATCCACCCCCGTTCCTTTTCCCCATAATTAATCCCAAACAAGGCAGCAGTGTGACCAAAAAGTGACAGGTGACTGTATGGTGCCCAGGTGACGTTTCCCAGTCACAGGGTCCACCGCCCTGGACTGTGGGGTTGGGCCACTCTGCCTTTTCCCCAAATCCTGGCAAGGAAGCTGACCCACAGCCATTTTCGCACCCACTGTAAGAAGAGGCTGGCGCCGGCTGGAGAGCGCATGCCCAGCTTTCGCCATGGCAACAGCAGCAAGGTAGCCGCGCGACCGCCGCTAACGGCAGCTGTCATCTCCTCAGAATTGCCGCCCACCCCCCAGCCGCCCTGGCACACACAGACCCCCCCACACACATACACCCCCACCTGCAAGTGGCTTATTCTGGTTTCTCACCAATGCTGGTGAAGGTCTGTGAACATTTGGAATGGATCCATGTAAGCCGGAAGCTGCCAGCGCAGTAATATATGAATACGTGCGTGGAGTTCATGGTGGCCAAGATTAGAGGTTCGAATCTCAACTGTGCTCCCTGCATCGTGAAGGATCAGCACCCCTCACCTTAGGAGTATGAGAGGCAACAGCCATACCCAATCAGCCACTGTGTTTGCCATAAAAAATCTTAAGTGGTAAACTTAAGCCTTTCCCAGAGAGGTGAATTTCAACTTCCTGTGCCATAGTGGAGAACTATGACATCATCACTTCCCCATCATTTATGAGTGCAGGGATGGACTATAGGTCACGAGGAATCGGAAAGATGGTGTAATGCCCCATCCTCAGTATCTTTAAACAGTTAGGCAACATCTCAGTAAAGTGTCCAGTGTGCTAATCAAAGGGTCCTTCATTTACTGTTCAAAATGTGTCGTTCTCTCAAACATAAATACCGACCATATCACACATTAAGTGTTAAGGGAACCGGAGCATATTTATGTAACGCCTCAGAATTTATGTAATGTATCGGAAGGGTAATTGTTGGTCTTGTTTTTGAAGAATGTAATTATTCATACATATTTAAGTCTTCTATCACTGCATCTTTAATACTGTCTACCCAAGACAGGGCTGTAGTGACCCTGGAGCCTTTCCCAGAAAACACAGTGCAGGCACCAAAAGGTACAGTCACACGAAGTAATGGGTGACCTTTAAAGCTCGCACCAGCAACGTGGGCTGCGGGTGCTCTGGTGAGGGCCATGAAAGCTCAAGGCAGCACATGTCAGCCATCGGAAAGGCCTGCCATCGGAGAGGTCTGCCGTCTGAAAGGCCTGCCGTCGGAGAGGTCTGCCGTCTGAAAGGCCTGCCGTCGGAGAGGTCTGCCGTCTGAAAGGCCTGCCGTCGGAGAGGTCTGCTGTCGGAAAGGCCTGCCGTCGGAGAGGTCTGCCATCAGAAAGGCTTCAGGTTCGAGTATTCACCAGCGCTATGGTTTCTTATGTTCCAATTGACCAATCATATTTGAGTATTCACCAGCGCCATGGTATACGTGTTTATTATGTTCCACCATCTATCACACTGATGTGACATTTTCACGACAACTGTGCTTTTACGGTTAACTGGATTCTGATACATATCGTAAAACACATTAAATTTGGCTTAACTCTTAAATAAGCTGGGTATGAAATATCATACAGCTTGTTTCTTATACAAAATGCTACGGAGATGACGATGTTGGTGAGGTTGATTGGAACCGGCCATCCTGTGACGGTTTTAGAGTACAAATCCTGGATGTGCATCAGAAGTGCGTACCTAGGGAAGGTCATGTGAATGGTGCGCTGCACTGTGGTCCGTACAACACACTTGGCTCTAGAAACGGGTCCAGAAGGAATGGTTCACACTCCACTGCACGTTCAATAAGTATGACATCTGTAGCGACGTGGACCGACGCCGTCACCTATGGAGGGGGTCCACCCGCCTCTGACGCTGGCCAGGTTCCGTACCAATTGAGGGAAATGTGTCACTGGGACAGAAGTGCGACAGGGACTAAGGGAGGGATTTGGAGGGCTCCCGTTAGAAATCCTAATTACTTCTGAGATAAGCCGGAGGACATTCGGCACCAGGCGTAGAATTAAACCAAAAGACGCACCGAACGCTTGTCTTGCCCTTCACGCTTCGCTTAGTGTTACCCTGCCTTAAGCTGCGGGTAAAAACAAACCGATTTGACCACAGTGTCTCCCCTAGTGTTAACGCCATATGTGAGATCCCTGGTAAGGGTATATATTTTTAGTATGTGGGCAGGGCATGTTCTTCAATTGTGGGTCCGGTAATTAATTTAAAATAATAATAACAATCAGCACTCCGCTGCCCCATGAGCTAGAGAAAATAATATGTTACGTTTCCTGTGTTTGGTATTCTGGCTATGGTGCAGATCTATATAGCATTAACTGGACTCATTGTCTTTTCATAATCTATAAGCAAGCTTTTAAATTACTACACCATCTGCCACTATTAATTTAAAAGATTTCCCAATTAAAACATGCAAATTACCTTTGCTCTTAATATCGGAGTTAAAACAAGATCGTTATTAGTTGTAGATGTCCACACATCTCATGCTTAAAGTAGACTGCTTGTCATGCACGGAAATACACCCACTTCCACCCACAAGTTACAGCCAGAGTTTACTCAACTGGGAAGCTTAACAGGAGGGTGCTGTGGATGCTGTGGACGTGAGCATACTTGAGATAAGTGGGAGCGAGCACTCTGGAAATACTTGCACCGAAGACACGGAAACAGGATTACAACGTGAACATTAAGATAAAATGGCGGTGTTCACGACCTTGGTAATCATTCATTAACTGTAACCGTCCACGCACCGCAGTGTTTTTGCTGAGTTTGCTTGTGAAGAATACCGTTTGTGAAACGAATATTTTTTTTTTTTGGAAATTTATCTGGTCCTTCACAACCTCCAGCTGACGCCACTCGTCGCAAGGCATAAAGCGTCAAAATGTTGCTTTGTCGCCATCTGCTGGAGAGAAGAAAACATGCGCCAAATTGCTTCATGTTGGCAATTAAATAGCAAGCCTGATATTGCTAGGTAATGCATCACAATTCCGAGATACTTCAGTCCGTCGTATTATTTCTTCTTCACAGCTGAACGAAACTTTTGATGGCTTTTGATCACAAAGTGATGAAGACACACGTAGATATAAACAGGCGGCCAGTCATTCATGTATCCCTGCCGTTTGAAGTATCATGCACAGATTTCTGCAAAAATATCTGTTGATGCAACATTTGCAGTACAAGGGAAAGGACTCTTTTCCTTTTATGCTGCGCTGTAATGTAAATTGTGATTAACTTCTCTGGCAGAATTGTGAACCCATAATATGGATTAAACAGCAAGGGCTAAGCGCTGAAGATGCTGCACGTTGAGGACAGGCACAGAGGCCACCAGCTCCCCCCCCCCCATCCACACCCCCACCCTATTAACATTGTGAGGCAGAGTAACACCAGCAGTAAAGGGACGTTTACCTCACGGGACAGTAATTCGCTCCCATGCAGAAGAATCCTTCAGAGGCCAAAAACCAATTTAGCCAAGGCAGGCGCTCTGCAACAAGGCCATTGTGGCGGTATGGGAGCAGTTAACAGCAAACCACAAAATTTCAGCCAGGGCAGCAACAACGAGCGACGAGGGCAGCAGGGGCACAACACACCTTATAGTGAATCCTGCTCTCCAGGTTTTATGGGCCATGAGTGGAACACATGCGAAAGTGGAAAGACTGCTGCCTGAACCCCCACAACATCCACTGAAGGAATGAACTGTGCTTCAGTTTCATAAAAGGTCATTATCAGGCCTTTTCATTTGAGAGACTCAACACTGAAGCTGTGTAGGGGGTCCATCAAATCACATCACGCCTCCTTGCTAGCAATTTGTCATTTAACTCAATTAATTTTTGTCCTAAGATTGGATCTATATTTAACTCAGAATTTTCACCTACGATTGGATCCAGCCATTACAGTTTCTATTAAGTAGGCACAAATTTCATTTTGCTTCCTACTTGTATTGCTAAAACCATTGCCATCCCATAATGAGGCCTAATCTACTTTGGAAAGTACAGTCTGACACATAAGGGAGGAGAAAACACACACAAAATATATTTAATCCCATCTGACCTTGAGGTTTACATCTGCTTCCATGGCAACTAAGCAAGACCTTTCTCTAAGCTGTAGTGTTATTTTATTCAGCCAAAAATGTGTGTGTGTGGGGGGGGAGCTACTTAAAGGAGGCAACACTTTTAATATGTGTAATGTGTGTAAGACTGGAATATGGTATTCTGGTAGTGATTCATTACTATGCATACTTGACTATAAATAAGAATGAATTAGTATTGATTTTCATTTCCACTTGTTTTTAAAATACTGCAGACATTGCAGCATTTGTAAGCAAAATGGTAATATAACTTTTAATGACTTGTGATGCAGCTATCAAGTTAAAATCAAATTAATCTAAATGTTTTTCAGTTATATTGCTGTAAACAGACACAAATTTGAGTCTGCTGTATAAGTAGACATGAATATTTTGCAGAATTCTGACTTGCTAATATGTGAATGTGACACGGTGTTATTTCAGCATTCAGAATGAGTGTGTCAGGAAAGTGAAGGTCTGCCCCTTACCTCTTTAACAAATCTTTCTTAATTGGCAGGGTCTGCTCCCCTTGCATTCGCACATTGACCGGACAGGCACCTCTCTTTGAAAGTCAGCCAAGAATCCAGGAATTCACAGCTGATGTCCACATGCGCCCCAGGATGAAGCTCATCTTTAGGCAGGATGGGTGACAGACCCAGACAGGTTTTAATGAAAACCAGGCAACCTGAAAGTGTTTTAAACACTTTGAAACAAACAGCAAAACCCAAAACTTGTGCTTTTTGATTAGAAGAGCCGCTCTATTGATTTGTTGCACGTTGGGTATTATCACATTGTATGTCATATTTTGTTTTAATATGTTACATTTAAAGCACTTACAGTCAAGGAAAAGACTCTTCAAAACTTCAAAAAACAGGACATTGTGGGTAATATATAAACCAATTTTATATTAGATTCTTAAGGTCAAAACTGATTCAACTGTGCGTAACAGGAAGTAGCAGATATGAAGCTTATTAGCTAAATCTGCTGCTGTCTGGAATAAAAGAGACATTGTCTCAGTAGATACATGAGTTTCTTTATCTATAGATACCTGACTGGACGGATTGCGACTCATGTGTCCCCTTCACTCTGTCCCATCCTCCAGAATGACAACATGGACATTATCCAGTGTGGCCATTTGCTATCAGAGCCTCTGACTGATTGTTCCCTGGCATCCTGGAAGCAGTGATAATACAAAGAGTTTGAGGACAATCTTCTAGACTGATTTGAGTCAGCCGGTATCCCGGGCAGTCAAAGAACGAAGAGGAGAGAGACTGTGATTGTGTTTTGCCTTAGGTAGGTTAAGTGGCTTTTGGAAGATAGTGTCCCTCACTGATGTTTTTTTTCCTGAGAGAAGGGGGACAGTTCACAAAGTAACGCTTTGTAAATGATCTGGAATTAAAATAGCTCAGGACGTTGTGAAACCCACCAAAGAGGCTAAATACTACTCCACTGCATACCTGGGGATTTCATTTCACTTTCACTGCTATTGCACATCAAAGGCTGAGCTCCTGCTTCTTGTGTTGCGTTGAGAAAAGCACCTCGGGGCGGGAAAATTTTCCATACGTCTCCATGAATATCAGCAGTTCAGGTGGATTTGGACAACAGTGTTATGCTGACTCGGCCATTTAATACAAGGCTTATGTGATTTATATGTTACAAATATCCATAGATGAAAATGGGGGGGGGGGAGAAATGAGCTTGAACTTGGCTTCAGAGTGAAACAAGATTCCCATCTCAGTACTACAGAACCCCTCCACCCCCCACACTGAAATTCAGGCTTTGGCAATCGATTGGAATAGCTATTGTGACCATAGCAACACATATTCCTATGGGCGACTACTCCTGTTTGTATGTTTGGAAACACAATTGATATAGTAGAGTCATTTTTGTACTATGTGAATTTTGTGGGCCGGGAGCTTATTCCAGGAATTACAGAGCATGGAACACTCTAAATGGGATGTCATTGCACTGCAGGCTGCACACAGTCATGTATACAATAACACTGGATGGGAAATTTAGGGATACTGATTCGCTCAACCACAGAGGCTATCCTGCTGCGGTCTGAGTCACCATCTTCCTGCTATCAACCATCAGCTGTTGTCAGGGCAATGGTGTGTGTCTCAGTGGGTCAGACCTCTGTGTCAGTGCTTTGAAGGCTGCTGATCAGAATCCTGTGCCATATTTCTGTTGGGCCCTTGAGCAAGGTTCTTAATACTCCAAGGACTCTGGATGAATGGCTGACTCTCATCCCAATCTTCATTCCCACATCTATGTGTGTGTATGGGTGCATCTGAAATCACATACTTAGACTATACATACTGAATTTTGTTAGTAGTCTTCTATGAGACCGTTAATGTAGTGCATTCTGTGTGTATACATGAGTATAGTGTGCATGGACTCAAACTGTGGTCACCGTCTTACATATTGCCTGACCCAGATGTTTATCAATGATGTAGCTTGACCCACATGAAAGTTCAACCAAAAAAAATACATATTTGAGTCAACTTATGTAACTTATTGTTTAAATTACACTACTTAAATTACTACTTAAATTTATAGAGATGGCACTTTCTCTGCCATCTTGACAAAAAAATCCTGAGCAAGTGATGTTCTTCATCTCTGGTTGCAGTTCCAGCAGCATTGTGGGATAGCGTGGTATTCAACAGTTGCACACTTAAGAATTTCAGATACCATTTGCCTACTGTCCCGTCCGTATTGAGTATTCGGACATACTGCTCATTTTGCATACTAGATTTTACCTACTACATACCAAACAAGTATGTAATTCTGGAAGCACAGTATGTCTTAAAAAGGGTGGAACGTGAAAACAAGCACATTCCAATCTACCTAGTATCAGTTCTGCTCTTGCTGGATCAAGTCACCATGATCGACATTTCAGATACCATAATGTTTGACTCTTGAATGGCCACTGTTAGAGAATTCAACTAAAACTCTCTATGGCTTCTCTTTTTTTGGTTCGTCTTTGTTGGGCCGTGATCTAAAGACAACTGGGAATGACCCAGCAGCTGCTCAGTATTAATTATGCTAAGTACTCAGCATGTTAACCGGACCTCCTTTCAGATACAGCCTGTTGCATGTTGGGTATGGAAACATGGAGGCGTTTTAACACTGTATCGCTAACGTGTACCTGCCAAACAGGTCTTCTCTCCCAAAGAGCAGAGGTGCTACTGATTTTTTAAACAGTAAAATATGCAGCAACAGAACTGCTATATTTAAATAATACAAATAAAAATACTAGATATTATGTAATGCACCTGAGAGCAGGACATACGTAGGTGTATTACTGTGGAGCACATTGCATGACGGGATTCCAGTTAGCTGACAGTGCAGTGCGCTGGTCGAACTTACGTGGCTGCCTCTGACGTTTCTAACGTGACTTTTCATGCCAGTTAAAAGACGTAATCTTTTTTTTCCTACCAGAAAAGTACTATGGCAATTTATTTCGTAAGTGCTGTTATGTTTTATCACCTTGTTCCGGAAAATGTGATTTTTCTTCATATATAGATAGAGCATCCAGGTGATTTGTGGGTGCTCGTTTTCTCCAACAGACGTTGTGTAGGGAGTTAGAAAAGTGAATAATTCAGCAGTTCAGGAGAGACCACCTGCTGGTTACACCTCTGACAGATTTCAGATGCCTCACTGGCAGGCTAATTAGACAGTTAGAGGGGAATTTCCCACATGGTTCTCTGTCCAATATCTTGAGTTTTTATGGGAACGCAAATAAACGGAACATCGTGCAGGAATGTTTGACACACGGGCGAGTCCAGCAGGCTGATTAGTAGCGGTGTTTGCGTTTTTTCCCTTAGAGGCTCTTATTTGCTGAGTTTTATATATTTTAAACCGTCTTTTTGGTCAAAATACATTTTATTGAACACCTAAGCCCCGTTATACCACGGCCCTTTTTCTGTTGTCGAGTCTGTTTGGGCAGAAGCGTGTTGATTCATTTTCCATAACGAATCACAGCTAGTTTTCTCTTACTTTGCTTAGCTGATAGTTAAATAACATGAAAAAATTACTTCAGTTCAGCTGGATATTTTTCATACCTTTAAACTAGTCTGAGTAGTAATTAATACATTTATTTAATATTTTGTGTGTGTGTCTATATATATATATATATATACTATACTTATATAATAATATTATTATAATATAATAATGCTACGGACGACAACTTCATTTTTAAAGACAATAAATAACTATATTATAATTATAATTATTGAATGGGCCTAATACTGTTTTTATTTACGGTCGAGTGTTTTGCAAAATGTGCATTTCATCTTATATGCTTGAAATACCTGCATACCTGCGCCAGTTCTGGCAGCGATAAAGATTACTCTCTGGGCAGTGAAATCAGAGGGACCGGCCAAGTGAGCAGTCAGTCGCGGCGGCAGAGCGCTGAGCTTGTTCACGAAGCCGCCCCTGCAGATGGGCAGACCTTCAGGGCGCCTGGCCGCATTTCATTGGTGACAAGGCGAGACGCCAGTCATCGGTAACCCCGGCTCAACCCCGCAGTGCGGGGCACCTGAGCACGCATATCTAAGTTATATGAGCCCGCCCAGGCAGCTCGGCCGCTAGGACCGCACTTCTCTGCTCCTATCTGGTGAGTGTCCTTTTGCTGTGATGCATAAACTTTTTTTTATTGCTTATAGATTTATATGATACCATTATAGAAGAGAACGGCACCACGAGGGTCTCTGTTAATCCTTTAGTACCAATAAGACCTTGGATAGCCCATAGACTAACCAGATGGATATCACTAAACCTTTGAACCTTAGACCTGAATTGCAAAACTCTGGAACAAAAACACTATGAACTGGCCAGTTACAACCGATGTTTTTTCTGTCGTTTTCTTAGAAGTGAGAGTGAAATATGTCAGCCTTTACTTTGTTTATGTATTCAAACACGGGACACAGGCACGTACTGTAAACTCACAGTAACTGGTAAATAAGTGAATATGATAATGGAATCTCTATTAATAGGAGTGTGTCGACATGACACCTGATGTATGAGGATTCAGCCAAGAGCCAGACACCTCCGATGTAACAGCACGTGATACAGTTTCACTAGTTTTAAATTTTTATTATGATTTATTCTGCGTGTATCTGAGATTGATTTAACATCCTACTCAATGGCTTTTAATATTAAGCAGAATAAATCAGGCCTACTGATATAATCTCTTAGACTGAAAAGTGAGAAAAATAAGAAACAGTAGCACAGTTCAGATTCAGTAATGACAGGTTGTTATAGCGGAAGCAGATGCCGCCCGAGATTTACTAATCTGACATAATCCGATTACAGAGACTCCTTCCTAGCAGAAATAAGCAAGTTGTAAAGTGGTTTATGCTGAAAATGTCTCCGCGGCAGTTTGTAATACCTTCCGAGCAACAGTTCAACATAGACCTAAATAGGTTATTTAATACTAATGCGTTAATTCTTTAGTTCTGTTTCCTGATTATATCCAGTTAAATTGTGAGTAATTTCATGATTACTATATATAGGCTAGATATATTTGTGCCTGAGTATGCATGTGTGTTTTTGTGCTCGTGTATAACTAAGTAACATAGCTTCCGTTGAAACTGTCGTTTCAAACAGCAATGAGATAACTATTTGATGCCAGCAGCCTTTGCGCCAAATCCAGTTACTCATCTTGCCCAGCAGCAGCCTGTAAGGGTGATCAGATATTTTTAAACACAGCACATGTGTAGTGTGAAGCCCTGGCACAGTTTGTCACTCATGAAGGAGGAGCGTTACAGCGAGAACGGAAAAGCAAAACGTTGGCGAGGTTTTAAAGGGATTTCTCACGGCATCGCGCACTGTCGGGAGGAGCGTCTCGGCATCCGATCGACAAACGGAAATATAGGCAGACAGCGAGCTATAACGATATAACATCACAAACATCTGTTTTTTTTTATCGAGCTCAGACTCGAGGTGGCTCCCATAAACCCGACGATTCTCGCGTCCCATGTTACTGATCAGAAGGCTCACTGTAAATATGGCAAATCTGAACGGAGAATCACCTGGACGAAAGACACACCCACCGCCACGGCTCATGCAAGGAGGACAGGGCAGTTGAAATCTAGATCCGTTTGTCTAAGCCTAGCCAAGAAGTACAATTTCATAAGGACCCAAAAACATAGCAAAGTTGATGGATGGGTATTGAGATGACTGAGTCTTGCACTGTTGGCTTTGGACTGGGTCTCTAATTGATGGCATGTGGGTGGTACCAGGACCCTCCATCAAAGAGGACAAATGCGTATAGAACAGGGGTGGGCAATCTTACCCAGAAAGGGCTGTTGGGTTTGCGGGTTTTCGCCGCAGCTCCCTAATTACGTCACTAATTAGAGGACTGATTGGCTGAAGAGTCCTCACACCTGGGTTTGAGCAGCTGACCTAAAGGCTATCCAAAAATCTGCATACACACCGGCCTGTTGTGAATAAATAGAAAATGTGCAATATAAAATATGCAAGTCATGGTCTGACTGCCCATCAGGGAGCCCCTCTGAGACTCCCTGACACAATTCGAACCCTAGCTTTGGGGTAACCTGAGGGATCTTTTAGTACCATTGCCTGATTTACTGAACCTAAATGACTCTTGTAAAATTAATGAATGCTGGAGGTTTCATGTCCACCCAACTGGGTGAAGGTTAGGGTGTAATCGGTATCATCTCCGAGTCAGCAGCCCACACGGGGAAGCATGGCGGTGGTGCGAGACAGCCAACCACTGGGGGGGGGTTCACATTACACGGAGGAAGTAAGGGGAGATGCCAGAGGTGCCAAAGTGTCCTTCTTTGGTGTTTGAAAGACACACTGTGCTTATGAATTGTAACCCAGAATCCCCTATATATGGAAAACACTCAGAAGATCCGCAGACAGGAGAACTTTTATTTTGACAGGCGTTCATTCAATATCAATCTACATAATGCTTCAATATTTAAGCCAGTATATCAGCCAATTCCAAGTTCGTCTGTAGAGTGAATATATCCACACTGATGCAGGCCTTGTGTCAAAACGCCAGTGCCACACTCAAAGTGAGTTATTTATAAAAAAAGAACAACGTAGAAGCCGTCCAGGTTCATACTTGATTATTGTTAATCTTATTGTGTTAATATTGTTGATGAATTAATGGTGCATAATCATCTAAGACAGAATAGTGCAGTGTTTTAAAAGATTCATTCTGGACTTTGTTCAATGGAATATATAGGAAATAGGTGTAAATATACCCATTAATTTTAAAAAGCAGTTACTGAAAAGAAAGCAGTTCTTCAAAAGTTTCTCTGGTGCTTGGGAGCCGGGGGATAATGAGAAGCACTGGTGCATTAAGAAAGTTCTTCAGTTTGCACTATGTTACACAGGTATGTAAGAACAGCTGGTTTTCAGCTACCAGACTTTATATCCAAGCCTTAGAGGTGTACAGGTCACGTTTGTCTGTAAATTATGTCATGGCGACTGTCGGGGATCTGAAGTGGCAGGCGCTGACAGCTGCACAGCTGTCTGGTTGTGCTCTGAAGATCATCCATGTTTCCTCATCACTGCTACTATTTTAGGTTGTGCCGACCACCTCCTCCAATGGGTCTGGCGCTACTCATTTTTAGTTTGGTTAGAACATATTGAATTACTATGGAAGCCCATTTCCGCCACCGGGGAAAAAAATAATATTAAATTTAAGTCGAAATTTCGAGATAGTTCTCGTTATTTCGAGATAGTTCTCGTTATTTCGAGATACTATCTCGAAATTTTGACTTAGTATCTTGAAACTACGGAAGCCCTGAACCGCATTTGATGAATTTTTTTTCTGAGACAAGTCATTATTTCGACATAAGTCGTTATAATGAGATATTGTCTCGTTATTTCGACATAAGTTGTTATAACGAGATAGTAATTAAGTTGTTATTTCGACATAATGATAGGTATAAATTATAATACATTTATAGTGTGCCATGTGCTATCAGCATCAAGCACATATATCCAGTGAGCGTGCTTTTTGCTCAAGAAGTCGCGATCATAGCGTTGGAAAGAGTTTAATCATGGAACTGTGGATTCGTTTTGTAATTCTTTTTGTAAACGCTTCGGGCAATGTAATTCTGTCCTGGCTCACCGGTCAGTGTTATTCTGATTTTCAGTTCGGATGTAGATGAATTACCCAGGCAATGTTTTAGTAACGAATTACTGGAATGTAAAATGTTATGAAATGCTACACACGATAAGTTTATAGGCGATTTATGACAAACGATAAGAATAATATGAAGCATATTAGTGGTCTACATAAAGTTAACATCAGTAAGGGTTAACTTGGAATGAAAGCACAAACTATGTAAAATTCCCAGAAATACATGGGTCGTTAGTGTACCAAGTAAGCTACTGATGTTAACAGTGTCAGTATATGACTTAATGCATTCTTTAATATTGGCGCAAAGCTTAACATGAGTTATGTTGAAATGACTTTTGTCGAAATAACGACTTATTGTCTCCGAAAAAAAATGTATCAAATGCGGTTCAGGGCTTCCGTAGTTTCGAGATACTAAGTCGAAATTTCGAGATAGTTATCTCATTATTTCGAGAAGTTGAAATTTCGAGATAGTTATCTTGTTATTTCGAGATACTAAGTCAAAATTTCGAGATAGATCTCGTTATTTCGAGATATTATCTCGAAATTTTTAGTTATCTCGAAATAACGAGAACTCTCGAAATTTTGACTTAGTAGCCTATCTCGAAATAACGAGAAGTCTCAAAATTTTGACTTAGTATCTCGAAATAACGAGAACTCTCAAAATTTCGACTTCTCAAAATAACGGGATAAGTCGAAATTTTGAGAGAGTTCTCATTATTTCGAGATACTATCTCAAAATTTCGACTTATCCCGTTATTTCGAGAAGTCAAAATTTCGAGAGTTCTTGTTATTTCGAGATACTATCTCAAAATTTCGAGAGTTCTCGCTATTTCGAGATACTAAGTCAAAATTTCGAGAGTTATCTCGTTATTTCGAAAAGTCAAATTATCTTGAGATAAAGGGATAACTAAGTCGAAATTTCGACTTAAATTTTATATTATTTTTTTCCCCGGTGGTGGAAACGGGCTTCCATAAATTACAGATGCCAACCTAATTCTCATGTTTAATATTCTTCTCTAGCCATATTCTGTTTCATGGCCCATACTTAACACAAAAAACTCCCGTTATATTCAAATGAATAAATTGCCTTAAAATTATGCTGCGTTATTCACTCACTCTTCGTTTAATTTGGTTTCATTAATGTAAGAAACTACCTAGAAGCATTACATCTATTCAAGTGTAAATTGTAATTTACGGTTAGTATATTATAAAGCATAAGTATTCAGTTGTAAGTCATAAAATCCCTTTTTCCTACACTGATGAGATCTGCGAGTTTTTAAACAGAGCTGGATCCCACGTAGCACTCATACTTCAGGCTAGCATCTGCCTGACTTACACAAGTGCCTAGTATATGTGATCTTGCATAAACATGTTGCCAATTAGCAAATGATTTGAGTATTACATCTTTTAGATGTAACTTGCGTACGTCGGGCAGATGTATGTGTGCTATCAGGGATGTTTGTCATTGCTGAAGAAGCTGTTGGCCTTTCAACCGAATAATAGGAAGGTTGCCAGGAAACAACATGATCCACTCACATTTCGTTCCCTTTTGGAAAATGCCTGGACAGCCTTTGTTGACAGTGACACATAACAGGCTGCACTCACTTGGTCGGGCTATTGTCCTTTGGCTCAGTATTGTCTACTGGCTCAAATCGGATCAGTTTTTGACAGTCCTGGTGAAAGTGTGAATATGATGTTACTTAAATATGCAACAATGTAATAACCTGGTGACCCAATGAGGAGGCTTCTTAGTTTTTGTTTGTCATCTATGCTAAAAATGCTGCTTTGTTTTGTTTGGTGAGCATTCCCAGGCAGGAGTTACATGGGATTGTCACAGAAGCTATTGACATGCTTGCTCTACATCAGTGTTTCCCAACCCAGTCCTCAGGGATCCCCAGCCGGTCCATGTTTTTGCTCCCTACCAGCTCCCGGTAGGAGCAAAAACGTAGACTGGCTGCAGGTTCCTGAGGAACAGGTTGGGAACGACTTCTCTACATGAATGATGAATATATGAGATGGATGTAGTTCCCCACCTTCTACACCTGGTCTGTATCATAGTCAGGATAACTAATTTCCTCTGTCCACTCCTTCTCCACCTCTGTTCCATGGTTGACCCAGCCAGTTCAGTCCATAGTCCCCCAGGATTACAGCCACCCTGATCCTCTGTTTCAGATCCACCATGGAAGAGGATGTCCTGATGAAGGAAAGGCTCCAAGCCATCACTGTAAGTTGGGGGGAGGAGTATTGGACGGTTCTTCAAGGATTCATTTTTACTTATAGAACAATTAAGGTGCCACTAAATTCAAACGTCTGAGTCAGAAATGTATTTATAATGTGAATTTATACCTGCCCTTGATATAATGATTGAGAAATGGAGACGTGACAGAAATAAAGATGTTGTAATCCTATAATTCTGTCAAAGGACAGAAGTAGCACCCCAGTACATTTGCAGCCAATGTCATGAAATAATAGAGAAGGGATCTTTCCGCTAGAGGCCTGTTTGCTTCAGTTGGCATTGAAAGTTTTCAGTGAGGCCAGCCAGCCTTACAGGGATCAAGTTGAAAATGCCTTCTTGCACATATATGGCATGAGAATGACAAGCTTCAGTATGCAAACCTAACATCACATCATAATAATGCATTTGTCCATTTGCTTCTGCAGGATAAGAAAAGGGTTCAAGAAGATATCGTGAGGAGAAGACTGGAAATTGACAAAGAGAAGTTAACGCTTCAGTACCTGAAGGTAGGAGTCTGAGGGGCTGCATGTTGGTCCTGCGGCTTTGGGGTTGTGGGTTCAGGTCCTACCTGTGTACCGTGTACAGTTTGGATTTTATCCCTGCGTTTGCGGGATTCCTCCCACATTCCACAAAAAGTGCTGTTTAGGTACGCCAGTGTGTGCGTGGGCCCAGTGGCACTATGATGGTCTGGCCAAGGTGAACCCTGCTTTCTGAAACTGGCTGACTGTCACCCTGTGTTGGCTCACTCTTTTGAAAGAACCATTCAAAATAGATGCATCAGACTTAGATGAACCGGCGAGCTCCTTTTAAACACCAGCTGCAATATACTTCAGCGTATCATACCTTTTGTTTTTGTTAATAGGCAATAGCATTAGTATACCGCTAACCCATCAGTCAGTAATTCTCACAGCAGCGGAGTCGGTGACCTCCAAAAAAGCCGTAAAACCCACAATACAGTCGTGTTTATGTCATGTTTTTCTGCTTATTAAATTTAAGTGTTTCCAACACAACAGTAATAAAATAAAAGTCTAGCTTTAACATAAATACTAAAAGAATAGATCGCTTTAATCGCTGTTACAGTTGGGTATGGGCACGTGGTCTTATTTAGAAAACATACAAAAAGAGGCTCATATAATGTTTAATCATTAATTTTGTATTTGTCCAAGTAACAAAGCAAAGGAATGATAAGCTGCTTCAGTCGAAAACTGAATTTTACCTCTCATTTAAAATAAAATGCAGGGTTGGCAACTTTGGTCAGCTACATGGAGTGAGATTTTCTGTTCTCTGTTCTGCACACACATTTACATGTATGTAAGTTTTATTACCTTGTAAATAGCCTGTAGGGTTTGCAAACTGCTGTGACGTTTTTGATGCAGCTAATTTTAAGTTCAGAATGGAATATAGATTTGCCGTAAGATTTCTTGCGTGAGAGTATGAAAGAGTTTGCAACCATGAACACGTACATTTTTTGTTTCACCTGAATTGATTTGCAGAGAAAATAACCATATACAGTTGTCAAAAAGCGGAAACTTTGACCAACATGAAATCACCAATAAACGACTTCTATTTATTCAACATTTTATAAAATGCATATTACGTTTAGAAATTTCCAGCTTTACGGTTTCAGGACAGAACAGCCACTCTGTTGTGAACATTACAGGTTTTTAAGTATTATTAGTGTTATTAACAGCAGCTAACAGCACAGTAGCGCAAACAAAAGGGCTGCATACACCGAAGTAGTTCTTGCTTGGTCATTGGCGTGGGAAAAGGCGGTTCTAATGTTATTAGGAGGGTAATAAGCGTTACCTGCAAGATCGCTATTTTTCTTTTTGCTGCAATTGTTTTCATTATTACTTTAACTTGACACATCACATCTTTAAATTCTCATCCTTGCATTAGAACATAGACCAGTTAATACTGATCGATGTTCTCATGCTGCGTCATGTTTTAAAATTACTACACACTGAATATTGAACTGAAGCTTGACATAAAAAAATTAAATCGCAAATCAAATCGTAATCACAATTTCTGTCAGCGAAATCGCAATTCGATATTTTCCCCAAATCGTGCAGCCTATCTTGGTTTCATATTCACATAAAAACAGATTTTGCTGTTGTCGGCGTATTTAGGCTTAAATATCATAAAACATAAAAATAAAAGTAACAGTAGCTCTCTGTGTATATTACCCATCCATCCATCCATCTTCTAACTCATCATCCTGCTAAGAGTCACAAGGGTACCCAAAGCCCTGAACACTATCCATTCCCTGATTAGACTTTTATGCAGCAATTCTGTATATAATGAAAATATGACAAAAAAAAATCTATCTACTAACCCTATATTAGCTGCTTATCTTGTGCATGGTCTGCAGTGCAAACAAAAAACATAAATTTTTTGAGTGTCACCATAATTTTTATAGCCTGGGACGCTATACTGGATAAGCAGTTGGAATTTGGATACATGGATGGATGGATGGGTTAATGTAGATATGATGATATGTGAGTCTTCTATGGACACTGTTTAATAACAACCACAAATGCAAGAAGCTTTACGCAGAGCCGTCATTTAATGAGGCATGCAGTAAAATGTTTTACACAAGCGCTCAGGGTAGCCTTTGTGAGTAGAGTGTTTGTGGGGCTCAGCCATTCTCTCTCTGTCCCACAAACAGAAGAAAGCAGTGCGGGAGCAGTGGCTTATGGAAGGACAGGGCGCCCCCTGTGGGCCAGGGCAGGAAGGCAGCGGGCAGCAGATACAGGAGCAGCAGGAGCAAATCAGGACCCATCAGAGCATCATCTACAGGTGACACGAGACTCAAAAGACAGAACGTTAAATGTATTAAAACAGTCATGATTCCAGAGCAGAAATAGATTTATTACTAAGCATATTTGCAATCATTTTGCTTAAGGAATCAATGTCACAATGGTAGAAGCAGCATTTTATGATGTAAGCTGAAGCAGATTGATGGCATCGGACTGTAATGGTACTGATGATGAAATAAAAAGTTATGCTATGGACCAAGTTGTGACATCCATTCCATCACAAAAATGTTTTTTCACCTTTGATTCGTTTTCTCAAGCTCTAAGCACATTGGTTTCATGGTTTCCATGGAGACCACTAGACTAACAGTTTGGTAAATTAGAAAACAGGCCATTTGGAAAGGAAACAGAGTCTATCTCCAGCATGTCATGCCACATTGATTGTAGCCAGAGACCTTAATCCCAGAGATGATGACTGATAGTGTCGCTGATAAACCCCAGAAACGTCAATAACAACGATTTCAACATGGCTCCTCTAGATGTGACAAATCCAGTTAGTCATCTAATTTTTAACCATGGCGCCACCTGCTGTCCATTCGTTGAAAAGGATAATGCCAGTGCAAAACCTTGCCTTTATATGACCTCTCCCAGTTACCATCTGCTTTAAAAAGTCACACCCTCTGAAGACAAGAAATAAACCAAATGTCCTTGGGTTATTGTTGTATTTGGTTTTTTTATGCCAGACATTTTATATATTTTTTTGTCTTACAGTGTCAGTGTAAAATAATCTTCATGTGACTTAATATGCAGCTACTGTAACTCATGGAGCAACATTTGAATCAATGTGCTGCCCTTGGAATAAGGTCAATATTCCCTAAGTCAGTGTGGCTCTAACCGGTCCTCAGGGACCCCCCCAGACAGCCCACGTTTCTGCTTCCTCCCAAAAATGTGGACTGTCTGGGAGGGAGCAAAAACGTGATTCATGAGGCTACTCAGGATTACAACATCTTCTGCCTCCCAGGGACTTTGCTCTAGCTGAGTACTGTTAGCATTTTGCCCGAAGTAGCAATGATTCTCCTTGCAGAATGGAGAAAGAAGTGGAGGCTTTGGAGAGACAGGAAATGATGATTTCCGCCAATGAGGATTTTATCCTGAGAAGGCTGAAGACAGTGGAAAAGTCTGCACAAGACGTTATAAAGGTATCACCCTGCACAGATACTTGTAAAAAATGTTTTGTAAGGCAGTGAAGGGAAATGTGTTAAAATCATATTTATCATTAAAACTTTTAATCAAGTTTTCATGTTTAGTCACTTAGTAATTATAATTTCAAATGACATCATTTCAAATGACCATATTCAAATGAAGATTTTCATTTGTAAATTATTTTTGGGCTGAGATGTATAGAAATATTTTTACCTGATGTTTCTGATATCTGAAATGTTTTGTTGTACCTCTATACAGGCAGTCAAGTCTCGAATACAAGAAGGTATACTTCTGCTGTTATGTTGGTTCGGACTTTGTTTTTCATTTAAAAAAAATAAACCAAAGCCGACTGGCACTAATTTTAAGTTTTGCATTGTAGAGACTTCTGAGCATGTTCCCTCCACAAATGCATCCACATCCTACAGATCTCCACGCCTGCAGAAACACAATCCAGGGTCAAACGTGGACCAACCGACAAGAGGTTAGACATCAAATCACAGTCATGAAATTTATTAAATATAACAATAACCTGTAACCTGCCTTGCCTAGAGTGAAATCTAGAGAAGTACATTTATATCGACCAATCAATATAATCCTCCATAGACAATGTTATGTTTTTTTTTGCAGTAGCTTCTTGAAATTACATCAAAATGATTGAGAGTTGACTGGCAAGGTTATTAAAAGTAAAAACAATAACCCTCATTGGTACCTTTTTTTCTATCCTTAGCTCTGTATGCCTTGGAAATAAATGTTCAGAAGGATAAGAGGACCGGAGAGAGCGTGGTCCTATCAAAAGCAAGCATCCCACCACAGCGAGCTCAGCACAATGGCGTGAAAGTCTATGATGACGGGAGAAGGTCGGTTTATGCCGTGTATCCAGAAGAGCAGGACTTCAATAAGCTCAGTCCTGATGAGGTGGAGCAGCTCCTGAGGACGGCCCCTAAGCAACCGTTCAGAAATGTCCCACAATGCCATGGGTCGGGGACCCCAAGGTTAAGTGCCACGCAACCAAACCCTAGAAGACCAGTGGCAGACCAAGTGACAGCAAAGTCCAATGGAGTTCAGGGGTCAAGTCCAACAATCCCCAAGATCACGTGCAATGAGCAGTTTTGGGAACATGGGTGTTCCATGGTGCCATCTTACATTCCAGTTTCCTGTAGTGACGAACAAGGTGGACACTATGGCCAGAACATTAGGCACAGCCAAAGGTGTTCCACAAAGTCAGGAGACAATGAAGCAATACAAAGACCTCATAACTCTAAGCATGATTCTGGGGACACCCCTACAGGGACTCCCAAGGAGCCCCCTAGGGATTCCTCAAATCATAGGAATCCACCTCTTTCAAACTCCCAGAATTCCAGAGGCGACGAGCTGAACACCATGTCGGACGATCTCGACTCTTTAAAGCCAGTCACAATGATCTTCATGGGTTACCAAAGCATCTCGGACGACGTGCACGTTCCGGGCCACGATGGAGCAATCCGGGCTGAGCTGGTGATCATCGCCAGCGACGACGATGATGAAGGCCACCGTGGTGTGGTTTGCCACCCCAGCAGGAGCCCCGGGCCAATACGGCACCTCCCCGCGGCCCAGGGCAGCGGCAGTGTGCCTGAACACATTCAGGAAGCCAAGCTAATTCCCCCCACAGCAAACATGGCGACAGACGGGGATGTCATGACAGATGCCTCCACCGCAGGTAGTAAAAAAAATAAGAAGGAGAAAGCGCTGTGTTGCTCTCTGATGTGACTCCACCACACTAACATCCTCTTCTGATCTGATGCACTTTCATGATTGCTAACATAGATGTGCTTTTTACAAGACATGTGATGGACATACTATGACTCACCAGCTAATCAGTTCTTCAGTCCCTGCCGGTTCTACATGTTTCCCCTACATAAGACGGTTCCTCATTGACCCGAACGTAATCCATCCAAAAGAGCTGTTCAATGAATCACATGTTGACAGTCATTTTTCATATTATTGAGCAGTACCAGGATGTTTGTTTTTTCCGGCACCTTCCTTTGTGCAGCCGTAACAATCTGTGACAGTCCATCAAGGTTTTGGCCTGTAACAGGAACCATCTGGCCAGAGACCACCTTCCAATGGATCTTTCCAACACCGCATGATGTGATTGGTTAAACACATCATTGTCACACAGTCAAAGAGAGCCATAGAAGAATGCTTCGTGTGATGGTGTTTTATGGTTTTTAATAAATATTGTAAGAGGAAAATAATATAGCCTTAACTACAGTGGATCTATATCGCAGTGAGTCATCTCTGGTTCAACAGAGATTGATTCAACAGGGACCGTGACTTTTTTTAAATGGTTGCAGTGTATAGCACTTAATATCCTTCGCAACTATATCTATTTATATAATTAGTCAATGAAAAGTCCAGTGCTATTCATGTGGATCTTGTCCAAGATTTCTTTTGGCAGTTTTTATTAACCTAATCCTGTGCCCCCCATCCAGTTCACAGATTTGCTCATGTTTCCGCTAATTCTAAAGCCCTTGATTCACTGGCTCAGGCATGCAGGTGGGAGCTGTGAAAGTGTGGACTGGATGTCGGGACCGGAAGACTAAATAGAATCAGTTTTAATGCTGTCGGGGATTTAGCAGCATTTTATGTAGGTTAAATCGATGTTTGTTTTTCTGATGTCACCGCCATATAATAATGAGAACATAACTGCAGTTCTGTTATACCTTATTCAGTGGAAAAAAAGCACTGAATGCTGACCAGCTGTGGTAATGCCCGCGAACGCTCAAAGGACGTGGTAATCCAAACTTTACTGCCACCTAGTGATGATTCACAGATATGCAACAATGGCTGCATAACCTGTTCTTGCTCTGCATAGCCCTCATAGGCCAGCCTGCTTTTACACTAATCCCTTAACTAATCGTTATATTATTTACATTATACTTTTATAAATCGCTTTTGTGCTCTAATAATATTTTCGTTATGCATTATCCCTAATAATTTGCATTCTTTATATTATATAATTTTGACTTCTGTGGATTAAAGTCATTAGTTGTTTTTTTTATCTTTCTTTTTTCTGCACTTTTCATCGTATTTTGAATGACTGGGGTTGTTTTACAATAAATCTGTAAGACATATTTGGGCAAGTTATTTAACACAGTTGTAACATGTTTTGTGCATACGTGTGCATGTATGTGTATATATACACAGGTATGTGTATATATACACACATAAGTTTCCTGGTCAACAAACACATCTCGTCCTACTCACTGAAGTCAATGAGGAAAAGTTGGTATTGTATGAGATTTTGGAATAAAGGCAACAAAGGGCGCTGTCTGGCCACAAAATGTCCAAGCTAATCATTCCATTTTAAATCATTATAATCTAGCTTCCAAAATGTAGCCCATTCCGAGGCCTAGTCCTTCGTCAGACTTTGAAATGAATGTCCACTGCCATTAAGTGTCCTGGACACGAAATGACATTTCATAATGTGCCTCTTGAGTTATATAAGCAACCTTACAAGTTACATAAGCCATCAATATATTTGTAAAGACAAATTGAATCAATCTTGCTGCCGTTTACATTCACACAGCTTTTGTCCCTCAGTAAATCCATGTAAAATGTAAGCAAAAGATGGCTTCTCTCTGGGGTCCTAGATTTCCATCTAAATTGTGATTTGCTAGTCTCACATTTTACAAGAAATGATGAGAGATGCCCTTTTAAATTCCCCAAAGAGCTTTCTTCTTATGTACGGTATATTTTAAGACGAAAAGGAGCGCAGTCTCACCCATGTTTTCGCTCTCAGCCACGGCGACCCTCATTAGCAGGCCGGCGATGTCACACTGACAGTCTGTGTTTTTCCCACAGCGACGCGTGAGGGGATGAAGGCACTAAGCAACGAGACTTAATCTTCCAGGGAATACGACCCCCTCCCCTCCACAATCACCATATTCTGCTGAGAACCACAATGCAATCCAGACTTAACTATCAGGAGACCGCAGATGGAGAAGTCTATAAATACAAACGGATCTTCAGAGGAAATGTTTTTCTATTAAGTACAAGCTAATAACATAAATTTTAATGTGATCTGGTGCCAATCGCGATAAGTAAGAAAATTACCAGCGGTACCATCAGCTGTATCTGTTTCTATGTGCCTTTTGACTTTTGATGCCGTCAGGTTTTTATTAATGTGTAATATGCTCATAGAACTATCAAGAAATCAACAAAAAGAATCTATGCAGAAGTATATGAAATAATTGTGTTTTATGCCTGCCTGCAATAAAGTTAAAAGTTAATGATAAAACTATATGCAGTTTTTATTGCACTCTGAATGAAGAATATGAACAGCAGAGCACTCTGAGAGCTGGATCAGAGACACGCATGTAAGCATGCATGGTGTTACTCACATTGTCGATAGCATCTATCGGCGTTTTTAATGCAGATCTCGAAAGTGAATTTTTAGACGTCCTATACGCAACTGGATGTTGAAAACAAAGCCAGGATAATCTATTTAATAAACAGCTCGCGGATCCTCCCAGTGTTGTGACAGCTGTTGGTGGCATCCCTCCAGACAACCTGTGCTACTTCTATCTATTTTCCAGATATATTTCCGAATGCATGCTGAAAGCACGTGATCCGAATAGCCGTATGCAAACCACCCGTATAACTAGCACTGGCATTTCGATTCCAGGCGTTACATTTCTTATTAGCACGCACTTAATGCATTACCATTATCCGTCCGTTCCGCTAAATGAATTTACACAGCTCTGACACTATTCACCAAAGGAAAGTTTCCATTCATTTGCAGAATTCCACACTTTTAATGAAAATTACATGTTGTGTTCTGCACGAAAAAAGAACTCAGTATTGTCCTAACGTTTAAAATTAATAAAAAAAAATAATACTGACAAGGGCTGCTGTTCATACACGCTGCGCCTGCATGGTCTGTCCAGACCAGCTGCAAGCTCCAGAAAGGATGACAAATGCAAATACGAGCATATGGTCCATCATTTTTGCTCACTCGCCAAATCATCAGACGCTTCTTGAAGGTGTCATTGCTTACTGATGCGCTAATTGAAAATTTACTGTGGTGGAAATATGTGAGAGGAGCACTTCAAGTTTGTTGGTCAGACAAACTGACAGTGATTGGCGTGTTTGTGATAATGCATTTATATTCATGCATTAATAAAACTTATTAAACGTTGTTTTTAGTACCTCTTCCTTCGGTTTTGATACCATGCACCAAATCAGAGGACTTTTGTAGAGTGGGTTTTCATTGGATTTTAACATTGATAACATCCCGGTGTATTTGCCTTACATATTGTCACCAGTAACTTAATTTTTCCAGTAACAAAGAGTTAATATCCGGCATGTCCTTTCCTTATGGCCCACGTCATATATCCATCCATCCGTATATCCATTTTCTTTACCCACTTGTCCTATTCAGGGTCCCGGTGGGTCCGGAGCATACGTCATATATGTTAATATCTAATTTTTTTATTATACATACAGAAATCAACGTATTATACATTAATATATGGAATCATGCAATTAAAATATTCATCTGTATGTTTCATTTTGTGTTTATTGCATTTTAACAACATCTGGTTTTGAAAATATACTTTTTAAAAATAATACTTTCTACATTTTTTCCAATTACATGCAAGCTATAATACGGGTTAAATATTTTTAGATGTAAAATCGCGACATTTCTGATAAAGAGTCTTAAAGATAGTGGAATGGCCTGGCTATACAGCATCAAAACCGAACGACCTGTCAGAAATAATCTCCCAATTATTTTCTTTGGCATGTGCCTAGAAATAGCATAAAAACAGAGTGTAGGTTGTATCCTTGTGCAGAGCATCCTCTGAAAACAGTACCAGTGACAGGTAGAGGTTGGCCTGTCTATCATTTCAGCTTAGCCTCTCCCATTGGCTGATCCCCCCAGTGTGTTAGATCTGAGTCCCGCCTACCAGGGTTACCATCAGACAGAGGCAAACACACACAGCCGATGAGCCAGCCAAGCCACAGCACCGACTCAAGGTAGGAATGGGAAAAGTTTTTGAAGGTTTTTTTTTTAATGGTTGACCATTGATGACTGCTACCCATTTAGAAGGAGGAGGACGCCATTGTATAGGAACCAGCAGGGAAGAGGATGCCGCAGAATAACCAGCTAGTTATGTGGTTCAGAGGGAGGTCTGTCAGGTCTGCACTGATATTCAGCTCTTTGAAGAGGTGTGGGGAGAAGGAGGGAATGTGTGGATGAGGATGAACGCACAAGGCAGTAAGATATCGGCATGTGCGCTTCACAGAAGTGTGTGGGCTGGTGGGAACATTTCCAAGAGAGGAGCCAGATGAAAACAGAAGCAGGGCTGGCAGATTTCATTGCAGGATTCACAGACACAGACACAGACACACACTGCTCAGGCACATGCATTGTTTTGTGATGCACCTTTTCACCCAACAGCTTGCCGGGAGAGTATCAAAACACCTGGGTCCTCTACACTATGTGACCTCGGTCTTGATATCATGCAACAATTGATCCATCAGAATACTTCTGTACAGCAGCCTTTGAGTTGATTTTAACATTGCTAAGGTACCTGGCTGAGTGTCCCACTCAAACCACATCCCAGTAGATTTTCATTATACTCTGAAAAGAGCACAAGGTTGTCCAACTGATTTGGCTCCATCGATTTTGTAGCGAAGCCAGTCAATTTCATTCCCTAGGCTGCATAGTTAGATAATGCGGTGTTTCCATATCTGGGCCTCGGGAAACCACAGACAGTCCACGTTTTTGCTCCCTCCCAGTTCCGGGTAGGGAGCTCTGAGGGAGCAAAAACATAGACCGTCTGTAGGTCCATTAGGACTAGATTGGGACACTTTAATAATGGATTCCAATTGCAATAAAATGAACCAATGTGACCATTAGGTACCTTCACCTGCTTAGTGTGTACACTGTTCATTTTGCAGATGCTTATTAGGGCCTCAGATCTTCATGAAGGAGCTGAAGGAAAAATGGAGGTTCAGGTTTTCAGTAGTGCAGCATTCATCAGCTATATCAAGGCGGAAATTGCCAACAATGTCAGTCAGCAGCTACGTTTTTCGTTTATCATTTTGTTTATTCTGTTTTGAGGTGACAGTACTTATGACTTGACTGTATAATTGCACTGAGACAAGGGAACTGCTTCTTCTCCTGCAGATGAAAAAAAAATATTACTCGTTTCCTAGGTTTGATGCAGATCCACCTGGCACACCCTGTGGGTAGGAGTATGGATAGATTTCACGGACAAAATACCCAGGAAACCTAATGCTTTCGAGCGTTCGTGTTCCACTGCGCTGCAAAACACATGCATACCAATCAGAATCGATGGCGCTGACACAAACCCTGCTCGACGATCTCTTTTGGTAATAGTGAATGGGACACAGCATTGACCGCGGACTAAAATCGTGTGGGCTTAACCGGCAGCTGATCTAATAGCGAGCGAAGCCAGAGGCTCCTGCGCAGTGCGCCGCGCACAGGGAGGGTTCGGCGGTAACACAGCTCATTTGGCGATCAAACACATCTCAGTGACATTTGTGCCAATACGTGTCGCGTTCGCTCGGCTTCATCCCACCAGGAGCTGCTCGGTAGATCAATATCTTCGGTAGAAATCAAGCGGAGTGACGGGAAAAAGCTGAACTCTATGCATTACTCGCGACGCGTCGCAATTTGGTTGTACCGGCTGCATGTGGGTTTGATGGAAAAATGTGGGTATTTTTCTGACTTGGAGATGATCTCATTTTGGCTACTCTGTTTGAAAGTGCTGGTAGGTAACGGGAAACAAACTATACTCATGTCTCTCCCTTCTGTGTGAATTGACTGGCGCTGGATTGCTATGTTTTTGCTTGAGCTTGAAAGGAAAAATCCGCTACAGCTACCTTTGTGCATGGCTTTGATGTTCTTCTGTCCAACTGACATTTTCAGAATCATTGGGATGATCGGTAATGAGGGATTTCCCGACTGTTAATTAGTTGCTTCTTTCTGCATTGCCGGACACTGAAAAACAGTAATGCTGCATGCCTGTTTAAGTAGCCGTGGTAAAACTGTGCTGGTAAATACATTTTTTCCTTTGGCAGAGATAGACATATATAAAAATCAATCTACCACCAAACAATGTTTACACAATGTTTGAACATATTTGAATAAATAATTGAAATTTCGTTTTATAGGCTAATAAAATGCGTATATAAATATATTTGGTATATTTAGATTAGAAAAATGTGTATTTTTCTCTTTTCACGTTAGAATCATCAGAGTGTTTGTGTTGTAATGGTGTTTTGTTAAAAAATGTTTTTGATTGGAACAGGTCATGGTGCTTGAAATCTTCCATAATCCCTTTGATTCTGTGATATTTTACCATAATGATTATACATGACAGTTTGTGCCGTTTTTCCCCTTTCTCTGCGAGCAGAGTTGTTTCAGAGTTTTACAGAGGGGGCAAGAGATTTCATTATATTAATTTTTTTTTGGGGGGGGGGGGGGCATCAAGAATGTCCCAGAGCAAGAACGGAACTGAAACCTCGGATTTTTCGTTGTTATAAATTCATACCTCAAAATACAGCAGATAATATGCTTACGGAACCCTGCTTATCGCTGTCTTCCCACGGAGTACGTTTGTCCAAATTTTAACCTTTGTCTGATTTGTGGTTGGATGCTGAGGACTGGGAGCAAAGCCAAGATTTCCCACAGCAAGGGCTGGTTCTGCTGGGCAAATCGTTTGCTAGGGCACCAAGATTTCGCCTTCAGTTTAAAAGCAAAGATATTATAAGGAAACAGAGAATTGCGGTCGCAAAGGGAAAACACACATATGAGATGGGAGAGATTATTTTACTACCTTGATGGATCTCATGGACTTGTGGTATTGTGATGTCATTCAGCGCAATAACTCAAATAGTGTAAATCACGTTAATCTTTTATAAAACTGAAATTATCTGTGTTTAAAGATAATATCAGTCATTGAACATGAGCGTGCTTAAAACGTGAACTGCAACAAATCTGTCATTTAAAAAGGTAAAATTATCGTACTGTATCTGCTTTGTTTATGAAATCACTGGTTCCGGCTTTGTGAATCTCATGACGAAATGTTTGGTTCCAATCCTCAGCACCTCTTTCCCCTGGAAGTACCGTCTTGAAGGGCTGGACCCCACCCACCCCCCTCCCCAGCAGTAAAATTAGGACCCGACAGTCATGCACCACAAGAACAGAGCAGCGCAGGCGTGGGTGACAACATTTAATCCAGAAATCTTACATAACAAGTCCGCTGCTTCTTCAGGGGTTCTCTTCAAACAAGCACTGAACAGTATTTTCTAATATGTGTAATATGTGTAAACATTGTGTGTGGAAATATATGCCATTTTTCTTTCCTCTACGACTGTGCTGTCATTAAGTGTCAGGCTGCCGCATAACGACCTCTGTTTTGAAAGAAAAAAAATATATATGTGTATATGTGGGTGTGCATGAATTTATTTAGGTTTAGTTATTTAGGTTATCCTTTTTTGTTGAGTAGTGTTGTTTTATAACTTTGCAAGTGTCCTCATGCACACGCACATTACTCACAATTTCACACCAGTCATCCATACAGTGCTACATTTGCAAAGTCCTTTAATAGAATTACTGCATCCCTTTGCATGCGTGTTTTGAACTTGTCACCGGTGCCGGCAGCACGTTGGAGCATGCGACAAACGCACGAGTGCACATGCACTGGGGAGGCAGGGAATTATGGTAATTCCGAGGCCTCTGTGCCGTGCCCAACCGAATTCCATGGTTTGCTTGAAATGTGTCTCATGGTGAATTGTGGTATCAAAAGATGCCTGCCCACCTGCCGTGTGTGTCACTGTTACGCTGAAACAAAGAAACAGTTGTCACTTTGAAGGGTTCATGGTGGAATGTGTGACATCTCGCAGAGATTCGCCTTGCAGAGCAGAGACCTAAGTGTAAATGGCTGTAGATCAGTGCCTTTAACACCTTCTTTGTGGAAAAGTAGGATTTCAGTTGGCGAGCAGGTAGGCATCTTTTCACACTTAACAGACCCCAGTTGTGTGCAACAGAGGGCTGGAAAATGACAGGTTGAGCATTTCTGCAGGTTGAAAGTAATGCTGCAAGGGGTTTGTTGGTTAAAAGCTGTTTTGTTCTGGTTTTGCAGAGAGCCACGACTGGCATGAAAAGGACGAATGGGGGCAAACTGATTGAAGGCTGCAGTCACCCTCAAAATCCAACAGCCGAAGATCAGGAATACTTCTCAGAAGCTGTTACCATAGAGACCAGCCACCTTCCAAGCACGGCCACTGTAACTGACAATAAAATGGATTCTATGGAAACAGAGACAGCAGAAAATAATGGCTTACTTGTGGAAGGTGTCCAGGCAGACATAACACAACCCATTAAGACAGAAGAAAGTGTGGAACCGTCAGAGGTTCCACCCGGAGACAAAGATGAAATTTCTGTACTTGAGGACATAGAAAATGGAGATCAGGAGAGTGGGAGAGACATTAGCTGCCACAAGGAGGCTTTGGTCCTCAAGGCAGGACAAGAGGAGTCCAATCAAACAGAGACCACGACATCATCAGTTTCAGACTCACCCTCAAACACAGGAAGCGTGTGCAAATCACAGGACCCGATCGAACACAACAAAAGGGACACTCCTTTAACCACGGATGAAAAGGTCAATTCTGTTCCCACAGAAGAAAGGCACAGTCTTATATACACAGAAAAAAGGGACAGTCCTACATCCAAAGAAGAAAAGGATAGTAATATACCCAATGGAAAAAAGGACAGTCCTATACCCACAGAAAAAAAGGACAGTCCTATATCCAAAGAAGAAAAGGATAGTCCTATACCCAAGGAAGAAAAGGATAGTCCTATACCCACAGAAAAAAAGGACAGTCCTATACCCAAAGAAGAAAAGGATAGTCCTATAACTAACAAAGAAAAAGATTGTAATATATCCAATGAAAAAAAGGAGAGTCCTATACCCAAAGAAGAAAAGGATAGTCCTATACCCAAGGAAGAAAAGGATAGTAATATAGCCAATGAAAAAAAGGACAGTCCTATATCCACAGAAAAAAAGGACTGCCCTATACCCAAAGAAAAGGATAGTCCTATACCCAAGGAAGAAAAGGATAGTCCTATACCCATGGAAGAAAAAAATTGTAATATACCCAATGAAGAAAAGGAGAGTCATATAGCTAAAGAAGAAAAGGAGAGTCCTATAGCTAAAGAAGAAAAGGAGTGTCATATAGCTAAAGAAGAAAAGGAGTGTCATATAGCTAAAGAAGAAAAAGATAAACCTCTAGCCAGTGAAGATAAGGGTAGGCCTATAGCTAAAGAAGAAAAGGAGAGTCCTATAGCTAAAGAAGAAAAAGAAAAAGCTCTATCCACAGAAGAAAACAACAATCCTATATCCAAAGTAGAAAGGGATACTCCTATACCTAAAGAAGAAATGAACTGTTCTGTCCTCAAAGGAGATGCTGAAGACAATGTGGTTCTAGAAATCAGTCAGAAAGCTCTTGATGGTTGTGAGGGACATGGTGTTACCCAACATAATGCCACTCAGGGGGAGAAAAAAGAGCCTGTTTTACAAAAGTGCCTCAGAGAGGATAACTTATCAGACATCTCCAACGAATCTTGTCAAAATCTCGACCAAGATGACTTGAGTGATTGTTTGCAGGTTGAAATAGCCATTGTGTCATCAGACAGTGAATCCGATGACAAATGGCGAGCCATATTTTCATCCTCAATAAATAAAGAGGAAGAAAATGACATATACTTGGACAATAGCAAGGACACTAATGCCCAAGAACATTTTGTTGAAGAAGTAGCAAGCACAGAGTATGCTCATACAGAACCTGAACAGAAAAACGAAGCTCAGGTCCAAGACAGTGCAAGTATTTCTGAACAGCCTGAGTCATACTCAGGGTATGACTTAGAGACACAGGAAGATCCCTGCCATTTTTCTACCCAACCTCATGGCTTATCAAAAAATTCTGAGGACAAGGAGGAGGTAGCTCCAAGCTTAGTCAAACATAGAACATACACAATAAACTCTGCGAGATCCGGCATGGACAAAAAGATCCCCAGTGACTACTGTGTAATCCAGGAAACAAAGAGTGAAAATGTCAGCACAGAGCATGTGGATTTCCGATTTGCTCGCAAACAGTGGCTGAAGATGGAGGAGCAGACGAAGCAGCAAGCTCTCCAACCTACTGTCAAACAGGGATCCTGTCAGGGGGGACACAGCCTCATGTACACTCCGGTGAGGAACATCGAGAAGCCTAAGAAAGACATAGAGCTTGACAGTCTGGCTCTGAGGGAACTCACATTTACCCAATTCAGCCCATGCTCTGAGGATTCGGGTCTGGATGATTCCAGCTACCGCTCCCCTTATGATGAGCCTGAGACTCCCATCGAAAGGGAGATCCGCCTAGCCATGGAGCGAGAAGAAAACTTTAGAAGGGAAAGGGGGCTGCCTACCTCACCCTCTGCCAATATTAGACCTGCCACCGTCTTCATGGGGAAGTTCAACAAACCAGAGGAGAGAAGAAAGACCCCAGACCTTCAGGAAGACAGCTGTAGACCACTGAGGTCTCCCAGCATTAAAACACCACCCTTCTCTGTCAGCACTTCGTCATCATTAAAGAGTCCCACATATCACGAGATGACGGCCAACAACGTCATCATCCTCGAGCCAGATCCCTGTGGTCCTGGAGCAAAGCATTGCTCTCAGGGGCCACAGATATCTCCAGGATTGAAGACATTCAATGAGTGGCCCTCAGACACCACCAACGTCATCATCCTCGAGACGTCCAACCTGATAATACGCAGTGCCTCTGAGTTCTGCCTCAACACGACCTGCCAGGATGCACAAGAGAGTACGTTCCTGAACAATCCCTTCTTCAAACTGCGTTCCCGGAGCACCCAGTCCCTGGTAGACCGAGAAATCAAGATCGTCAAGCAGAGGGAGGAGGAGCTAAAACAACAAAGGGCTCATCTTTATCCAAAAGAGAAATACAACACTGTTCTGGTGTCACCAAACTTAATGGAAAGCATAAACTTTGACAAATCAGGTAGGTCAAGCCTGAAAAATTGGTTTTGCCATTCCTGAATTCAGTTTGGGTGAATTCCGACATAGCACAAGGCATGTAAATGCTGGGAATCTTGACAAGTGTCAATAGAGGTTCTGTGTTTCGTTCACCAGAATTGCCAGTGAGATGCAAATCATCTCCTTCGTCACCCCTGAGGACCGCTCGCAAGATGGACCGCTCCATTGTGTCCTGCGACCACAAGGTAAAGACTCCAGGTTATAGTTTTTCTCTCTATTTTGTGTCAAAATTTTATAGCAGCAGTTAATCAATGGGTAAAATTAATGAGATGACCCTGCATGTGAAGCCAGCCTTTATGGATGAACCCATCTTCCCTTAGTTCACAGACACCTTTTCTGTGGTACGTCGCAAGAGTGCCATGGCGATGCGATGGGAGGCAGGGGAGTTTGCCAATCACCAACAAGAGTGAACACAGGCGACCTATAGCAGCAGAGATGCAGGAGGCCTACAGTTCTGTTCTTTTCTGAATCAGTCATGGTGCTGCGTTTTGTCTTGATATAACCTAGCAACAAGCAATGTGTATTTGTCATGGATACCAAGGTATTATGCGAAAGAAACAACAACTAGTGTACAAATGTCACGACCCCCGGTCGCTATATGAATGACGGCCCTATATTTAGAGCACTTGATGTTCAACAGAAATTATTTTACATCATTCCGATTTATAGTCTAGATCACATATGGAAGATATTTATTATACTTAATTTTTACAAAAAAAAAAGATTTGTACTTTTTCCAAAAATTTGAATTTATGAATAAGAGAATAAATTATATGAATTCAAAAATAGGAGACATTTGCTTAAAATTATCTTTACATTTATTCTCTAGGAGAAGCAACAAAAAAGGTAATCATCCTTGTTTGGAAGATGGATAAATATATCCCCTTCATATTTTGAGACACATACGATGAATTATGACTCATACATCACGTGGCACTGAATAATATACAGATGTCCTAGTTTATAATGTACAGCTTAGCTCTTTAAACTACTTCTGCCAAAGGTGCCAATCTTGAAAAACAATGTTAAACACTACAATCATGGAAGATTTGCTATAGATTGTAAAGTAAACATAATTTTACTATTGTCGAATGTTTAAGCAATCATTTTCTTAATAATTTTTAATAAGACAAGTCTTTATTGGTCAGAGTATTATGAGAATTTACAACACATGGACCTTACAATGTGGGGGAAAATGTGAAAAACTGGATTCCCGTGGTATCCCATAAATAAATAGTTGTTTTGTTTTGAAAATACTTGGAAATAATGAAAGAACTGTACAAAAATGGAGTGCTATTTTATATTGCAATTATTTATCTTCAAGGCAAATAGTTAATTGTTCTATATTGTTAACCGCAGATAGAGAGACACAGATAAGAAAATATGTTCATGGGGATTTGTTTTTTTTTGGGGGGGGCAGGGTACGTGTCATAAGCTTTAATTTCCCAGCTTTAGATGAAGGACAGCCTATTGTGGCAGTGCTTTCAACATATAGCTACATGGGCTATTTTCAGACGAAAATCTTGTTTCCGAGTAGAAAGTTTTCAAAAAGCAAACCAATTGAATTTCGATAAAATAAGGAGAGGAACGGTTACTCTTTTTTTAATTTTGCTAGTGTCATTTTGCATGCTGAAACCTTGATTCTGCATAACTGGCATACATGAATGAAGGGCTGTGTTTTGTTGTTTTGATCTCTGCTGGATTTTTAGGGCTGTCCTCTGTGTGTGCTGAGCTTCAACCTGTACGCCGCATGAAGACTGTGGATGCATTTGTGATGGAAATTCCGACAGTAGTAATGAACTTAAGGGAATTAAAGGAAGTGACCAGCTCACATGAAATGGTCACGTAGAGGGGAAGCCAAGGCTCGGTCAAATAATGAGCGGGGGATGGAGATTTTGAAAGGGGAAAAAAAGTACTCTTCTCCAGGTGAGTTTTGGGAAAGGTCAGCCAGCAATTCTAATGCTGCAGTGCAGCTGAAAAGGCCCAAATCAAACATGAAAAAGGCTACACCGATTTAGATCTGTTTAGATCTTAAATTAACGTCAACTTCATGCCAGGTTCAGAGGTCACCAATGGTTATCAATGCCCTTATTAACATATGAAGACCCCACCTGTATATAAACAAAATCAGCAATCAAAACAAGTATTTCTGGTGCCAATCAGTGTTCTTTGAGTGCTGCCTTTGATTTAGCACAAAAATTAAAGATGCTACTGTTCTATGCCATCTATATGGCTCATTTTAAAATTTATTAAATATGAAATTATGTAACCACCGAGAGAGGTTGTTTCATTGACTTATATATGGCTGTTGTTGAATATGGCTTTTGCAGACAGTTCTGTTCAGTTTGCTAGTATAGCTGGCTTTGGGTAATGAGCACAAAATATGTTTTATGTTTAAAAGCATAATAATTACTGTCCTTTTAGCTGTTTTTTCTGCTCTTGTATTTTCAACCATTTAGTGTTATAAATAAAATAAAGATGGATCTAGAAACCTTACAATACAGTGGTCATTCTGTGCTATGGATTTGAAACCCTCTGGGAAAAAAACAAGAGACAGTTTCACTCATTTCGCAATTGATAGGTACATATGAGCCTATTTTGGTGATTAGTCATATACTTCACTAAGCCTGAGTCTTCCCTGCTTCTCAATGAAGGGCTTCTTCCTTGCTTCCTCTTCAGTCTTGCTTCCAGGAGCCCGATACTAACTTGTCCTAGCAGTGCACTTCACTCCATTCAATATTTCCCATTCCCTTTGAAGGTCACTTCATCTCATCCTCTGATTCATGAGGCACTGCCGGACAAGTTGACGGTCATCTCTGACATTAGAGAGTCACTTCTGCCCTCTACCTGGCTGGTTTCTGGTCGTTCTCAGTGTCTCCTGCTTCACCTCGTTCTTGTGTCCTGCTACCTTATACTGAGCCTGGAAGCAGCCTGTCTCACAGCGTAGCCTCAGCCAGCAGCACCAGGATTTAACAATGCAGATTCTTAAAAAATATGGTGTGGTCTCAATTTTTTCCAAAGCTGTATATGAGTTATACATTTTTAGACTATTTTATAACTGTACTGTCTTTTCGAACTGAAACAATAATATTCTTCCATATAATTTTAGCCCTTTACAGTTTGAAGCATTTCTAACAGACCTAAGATCACTCAGATATATATTTTTTTACCCGTTTTAAAATACATACATTTATCTCGCCTTTGCCCCAAGCAAAAAATATGTGATGATTAAAGTAAAAGGTCAGCCAGTTAAGGGCCTTGATCAAAAACCCAACAATGATATGATTTCCCTGGCAGCCATGGGACTTGAACCCACAGCCATCCTGAAAAAGGCACAGATTCCTAATCCACTAACTCAGACGCAGGATAATTCAGACGGAGGTAGGATGGTTGTTGTGGAATAGAGGCCTTGGTCACACACAGCTTATGAGGTATAAAAGAGTGATGATGAAAGCCATGTTTCCAGCGAGGAAGCCAATCAGAACCAGCTTTTTAAACAGGCTCTCCTATGACAAAAAAAAGCAACACATTCATTTGATCATACTGTACAGGTATTAAATCACATGAATGCAGGTTACAGTAAACCATAAATCAATACAGTGGTACCTCGGCTCACGAACTTAATTCGTTCGAGGACTCAGTTTGTGACCCGAAAAGTTCGCGACCTGAATCAATTTTTCCCATTTAAAATAATGTAAATACAAAGAATTCATTCAAACCTCAGAACCACTGATTTTTTTTAATGTTTTTCTGTGACCAAGAATATAGACTTAAATTAAAATAACCTTAATTATACAACAAATAATGCTGAACTAAATAAAACAGTACAACTGAACATACGCTTGTTGGCGGGCTGGTCGCCAAAACAAGAAAAAGAAACACAAAACATCCCCCCAAAAAACTAAACAATTAACATTAAAAGACTGAGTAGCAGTAAAAAACAATACAGTAATTTTGAAAATGTGATTTTTTTTAATTATACTGTACATTATTTTGATATGCCTAAAATTTTTATGTACATTTCGTGATGCGATGCGTTGTATGGCGATTAACTTTGTTTGTACTGTAAACAAACAATACGCACTTGCTACTATGTGTGAATGGAGAATATAACACTTAAATAGGAGTTACTTAATAGGGGTAATGTTGGAATAAGATCTTTATCGTTTTGGAAGCCATTAAGAAAAAATGCTCTTCTTGTTTTATCCTGTTCATTTTGTGTTTAAATGCTTAAAAAAAAAAAACATATTTAGGTGTAATTTTGGGGGGCCGGGAACCAATTAATTGCTTTCCATTATTTCTTATGGGAAAAATTTGATCAGAACTCGAACTTTTTAGGATTCGATCCGGAGTCCGGAACGGATTAAGTTCGAGAACCGAGGTACCACTATATTGTAATTTTATGTATAGATATGTGACTGTTAAAAACGATCACAAACATGTTCATCAATCACTGAACGGTACCGCTATAACAGAACGTTCTCTCTATTTTTTTTCTTTTTTCAGATATTCGACCTCTTTAGAGATATATTATAGACATACATCTACAACAAGTTTTTTTTATACATTCCACAACCGTTCTTGGGCACTTCTTCGTGTTTCGGGTGGTTCTTTGGGGTGCTTTTGGGGGATGTTTGTGTGTTCGCAGCCTGAAACACGGTTCATGAACCGGTACAAAAAATTTTTGAACATCTGGTGCGTAACCCAATTTCTTCGTGAACAGGACTATTTGTGGGTCGAGGTACCACTGTATATCAAAGGTAATGGAGGCACCATTAAAGAGAACCTTTCTTGTGAGGGTGCACACAGTAAGACATACTAGAACCTTCTAAGGGATTATTCTAAATTTATCCCCCTTTTCCCCATCTAATTTCTGAAACCACTTGTCCTATTAGGGCTAACAGGGGGTCTGGAGCCTATCTCAGTGGCCACGGGTGCAAGGTGGCGAACAACCCAGGATGGGGCACCAACCCATCGCAGGGCACAGTCACACGCCAGTCAGTCACACATTCACACCTATGGGCAATTTGGTAACTCCAATCAGCCTCAGCACGTTTTTGTTTTTGGACTGTGGGAGGAAACCGGAGTACCCAGAGGAAACCCCACGACGACACGGTGGAGAACATGCAAACTCCGCACGCATGGAGCCACAGTGGAGACTCCAACCCTAGTCCCAGAGGCGTTATGTGACAATGCTAAACACTGCACCACCGTGCCACCCTCAATGTCCCTTTTCATAAAATTTTTAAAAATGTTATTTACTTTGCATATAATAGCATAGATTTTCCTTTGGAAACAGTCACAGTTAATAAATGGCTACTAAGGTGATGTAGGGAATGATTTAGAATGTCTAGGCTTGTAGTATAAAACCTAAAGCTAGAGGGCGCCAAACCAATGCACATTAAGTGCACTGAGTTACCTATCACAGCTCTATTTTTAGCATATGGCACCTTCATTTTCCTGGAAAAGTGCTGATTAAGGAGTATTCATGCTTCTGTCACATCGAGATTTTACCTTAGACTCAGAAGATGATCCGGCTTCATACATGGGTGATTCCCTCCCTGTTTGAGGGAATAAGATTAATTACCAACCAGTTATTATTAAGCTGATTAGCCTCAGGGTGTAAAACACTCTCCTGCCTTTTATATAACAGCTAATCGTCGTTCACCTATCACAGTGGATGAGCATTTTAGAGGTCTTCCTTCACTCATCTCTAAGGATAATTTTTGATTGAATTCTCTGTAAACCTTCAAACAGTTTAAGGAGGTAGTGGGAAGCAAACTGACCGAACTTAATTAGGCCTCTTCTGTGCACCTCCAGCACCAGACCAGTGAGAGCGGCCCAGCAGATGATTCCAGCGAGCACGCCGTTGGAACTGGCCGTGGGCAAGAGTAGCGTTTGCTGCTGGACACCGAGGAAGATGGTCGCCACTGAAAGAGACCGGCGCCCACTCAGTTCCACGCCGAAACCCAAAGCCATGTCATGCCGCACTCAGGCTCTCAGCCCCAACAGCATGTGACTCAAGAAGTGTTGCGCAAAACTGCCGCAGAGCTTGCGTCAGATATTCCCCACATTTAAGCAACAATTACTGTAATCTTAGGTATGTTTGGCAAGGAACCAACTTACCAGCCAATATCTGTGCAGTAATACCTCCACCAAAATGAAGCCAGTTGAATATATATCTCCTATGGACATCAATGACATAAAAGGGACATTAAAATCATTTCCAAAACACATAAATAGCAACAATAATATTAAATTATGTTTAAAAAACTAACTTAGCTTAGCTGCTTTAGTTTGAATAGACTTTATCATCGGCTATTACAGGATCACTCAGACCACATTTTTATTGTGTCATACATGAAATATGTTCATCCACCTATTCATCTTCTCGAGCTTATCATGCTCTGGGTTTTAGGGAGGGGCCTGAAGCCTATTGCAGGCAGCACCGGTCATGAGGCTAGGGAGGGTCTACCCCAGAGGAGATGGCATTCAAATACTAAAAGCTGGTTTTCTGTAATCTTCTCAATTTTCCCTGACTATTTCCTTGAACTGTTTATGGTTGAGAACAATTCGAGTCTGATTCTTCCTCCCCCGAGTACAAGCTAAACCAAATCATACGGGGCCACAGTGACACATCTGTTAGACCCAACATAATAAACAACGAAAGATATGATGGCAGGTCACACCAAATGCATATCCAAAATTGAGATCCCTCCTAATGAATCACGGCACAGCCCTTCTGTCAAAAAACATCAAGAAACAAAACCCCATTGCTCTCTCATCAAATTACACGCAGTTACCAATTAGACAAGCCTTGTCTGAGAGGAAAGTAGGTGGCAAACCTTCAAAAGGCCTTCATTATGATTAATTTTAACGACATGCAAATTGGAGTAGGGGCGTGCTTTAATTGTACTACTTCGAACATAACAAAAATGACATCGCCAGTGGGTGTTTTCTTCCAGTTAACAATCATATAATCTCATAAATGGACACATTTAGCTGTTTTATTAATATAATACAGATCAATTAACTGGTACAAGACCACAGCAGCCAGGGTCCTGTTCCTGGGAATCGCTCCATCCATCCCTCCATCCATCCATCCATCCATCACTCCATCCATCCCTCCATCCATCCATCCCTCCATCCATCCATCAATTTCCTGTAACTGCGTGTTCTATTCAGGGTCACTGGGGGTCCAGAGCCTGTGGACACAAGGCCTCCAGGAAGTCAAAATATTCTACATCTAGTCACAGGTTACAACAGGGTAACCACTAAGCTAACTGCTTGGATCATAGTGGTTCAGGAATAGGTCAAATTTTAGCGGAATTTTATACATTTATATTCCTATCAAACAAAAGCACATCTAAGAACATCGTCTCTGTTAAATTGGGGAGGCAGAGGAAATGGGGTCAGGAGTTCATCCATTCACTTCAGCCATCTCTAATTTTGGGTCTTGCAGCTTCTGCTTTCTGTCAAGCAGCAAAAACACAGGCAGGTCTGCACCTGTGTGCACCTCTTCCTGAACACTCGTTCTGGCTATTTGCATATCTTCACTTTTTTCGATTGCAAATCTGAGGCGACGGGTTCGACAAGTTATGCTGAGAGAGGAAATCCAAAGATGAGCGTTTTACAAACAGGGACCCTTTTATTTCAGTCTCAGGTGAAATGGGGAAGTTTAAAAAAAAACCTCAAAATATCTTGTTTGTAAGCGAACAGTGTTACATTGCTACAATATTGCATCATTCCAGGAAAGCAGGGTTTTTAGGGAGATGAGTCAAAGGGGCCATGTGAGGATAAAGGCTTACCGTGGGGCGTTGGGGTGCGGACGGCAGGTCGCCCCCACAGGCTGCAGGATAGCGAGGGCCAGGACGATGCAGCCCAGGTAGGGGTGCGCCCCCGCATCCTGTAAGATAGGATCGGTCACATTCCTGGTCAACGTTCATGTGACTGCAGCATGGAAAACTGGTCTATTTTTGAAATTTGTTATGATCACCATGACTAAGCAAAAAAAGAATGTGCATGCTACACTGAGGATATGACTAACAATCGCGTTGTGCATGTGTGGCTACGGCGATTTAATTTCAGTCAGGTATCAGAACTAGTCGCAGTGCCTGCAGCTAGCAACACTTACAAGGGGCACAAAGACGTCTCAGGAAAAACATTACGAACAGGCATCTGAGAAAAACAGATGAGCCTTTAAGATAAAGCCTCAGGTAAGGTCATGATAAAATCACTCCATGTTCCAGCATGTTAAATTCCCGAAATGTCACAAATATCCAAGCTGACAACCATAATAACAAAGGAAGAACACCGGTGGCTTTTGGGAAACGAGGCACACAGGCCCGCAGTGGAAGGGACTGGCACCCAGTGTCACAGTGGGCTAAAGCAGCCATTGGCTGACAGGGTTTCAGGCCCCGCCCACCCCCAAGGGCTTCACAGCTCCAGACCTCCCTTCGCCGGCATTCTTTCTTTCGTCATTATTGTCCGTGGGTTGATCTTAGCAGTACGAGGTGCGCCTGAATTTTAGGTAATGGCTGTGGGCAGGTGCTGGGGGGCGGTAGGTCTGCGATACGTACGTCACTCCAGCCTTTTCTGTAGATAAATGGGAGGATAAAGCCAATGCAGGACAGCAACACAGTCAGCGTCATTAGCCCACGGTGCACCTGGAGACATGGGGACGACACGCATACCCCCCGTGACCTCACGCGATAAATCAGAGCAATGTGTGGGCTTTACGTTTTCATTCTGATGTACTGTACCGAAGCACAGACACTTAAAACTGCGAGATGATTGCAGACACAGCACCAAAAAATATAATGGACAGACTGGATAGTTCATTAAGTATGTTGATTTTTATCACCACGCCAGCAACTAGAACAATAATCATGACGAGAGTGAACGGGTATCCAAATGTAATTTTTGGTGATGAGTGTTGACACACAACAACAAAATGTGTCCTCTGCCCCTTGCTATGTCCTATATGAGTTAAATGCAGCTAATTCAGCACCCGGGGAGCAGTATCTTACTCAGGGTACCTCAGTGGCACCTTGCTGGTCAGGGATTCAAACAAGCAATTATTCAACTACAAACACACTCTCTTAACCATTAGGCCACCACAGCCCCACAGAGGGAAGACATACTGTAAAAAGGGAAAAACTTCATAAATAGCTATAAAACAATACAGTTAATCTAAATAAGGTGTCTTAGATTAACTTTTGATAAAAAAACATTGCAAAAGAGCCTCTGGTGGAACTTTACTAAAAACCCCAGTTACACTTCACTTAAAGCAGTTATTATAATGCATCATAGATATCTTCATAATGCATTATAATGCATTCATAAAGCATTATAAACATGGCTATAACTATAAAAAGGCATAACACATTATAGCAATGTGTATTATGCAATATGAATGGTTCATGAAGATTTCATCTATAATGTACTACAGATACCTTCATAATGTAGTACAAAGCATCTTAAATGCAAACATAATGTCGACAGGCCATTGAAGACCCTACCTGGAACCAAACCTTCTGCCCAAACAGGGTGTTACTGGGCCATTCTGCCTTGAAGAACCTCGCAACAATGATCCCAGTGGTCACCATAGTCAACCAGGCGATGAGCATCAAGGCCCCTAGAAGAGCAGGTACAAGTGATGACTGAACAATGGACAACAAACCATGCTACTCTACTACTTATATAACCTTGAGATTATAGAAATTATAAACGGAGATTAACAGTAGTATCTAGATGCTTTAAAATACAGTATGCTTTGTATTTTAGCCCTCTGTAAATCATACAAAACACCGATTTGAAGATTCTCATCAAAGTTTAAGGATGCTGGGCATGTTGACCGAGGTCAGGCCCTGTAATCAGTCACACAGGCTGTGTAGACATACCATGAAACTTTATCAACAGCGAGGATCGTGAACCGCTAAAATTCTCAGGCAATCCAGTGATGGACTTCAGCCCATTGGAAACAAGGGGCTGGAGATCGTGCTTGGAAATCGCACCTGGGGACGGGCAGCGAGAGAGAGAGAGAGAGAGAGAGAGAGAGAGAGTGCTTAAATTGGCAAGAAAGAAGTGGTTGGCGACATGTGCGTATGTTTATCTCAGCGGGCTAATCGAAAATTGCTTGCAATAAAATTGTGGAAATGCAAGCTTACTGATTTGTTTTTATATGGCATAATCCACAAGACAAATGAGTGGAAATTGTGTATATTACATGCTAGGGGACACTGAAGTCTATAGGCCTTTCGTACACTTACATAACACCATAAAGCCATAGAGATAATTACCGGATGATCCTACTTCCTGAGGACATTTTAGTGCCGTCTTTAAAGCTGTATAATCATCCCACCTCACACCCCATAACCAGAATAATCCCAGTGCCATGGTATGGGAAAACAAACTACTGGTTTGTCCGCTTTACACACAATACCGTACACAGTGCACAGGTAGCAGTCTCGGCCAAGGACGATCCATAATTATTTTACAACAAATAAAAAGCACTTTCCGGAAACAATTACATGGTAGTTGAAACGGATGTCATATCTTTTCTAGATTGGACTCAACAAAATTCAAAAACTGTCACATCCACATGTAATGTATCAAAGTATAGGTTAGCATTTAGTATGTCCGAACAAAACAATCAATTACAGGCAGCTACTGTATTTCAGTCAAATGCGACCGAGAAAAGGCTGCGGGGCTCACCAAAATCAGCTCCTCCGTTTGCTATAAATATGTAGTAGCTCTCATTCAGGTTAAACCTGGTTTGGTCGGCAGGGATGCTAATGTTTCTGAGAAAGCTGCATTGGACGACCCCATTGGATAACCTCCACGCCATATTTGACAGCACAGGCTGGAGACAAAGAGGCAGAAGTGAAACTATGGACAAATAGTGCATCGTGATAGCAGGTCTGGACATGTAGTTACTCAGAAAACGCATAAGCTAATAATTATGTAAACCAAAAAAACTCCGAGGTTCACAAACAATGATTATGGGATTTAGGCTGCAAGGATACTCTCAGACTGAGATTATGCTTTTACCTGCTTTATTTTTTGATTTTAAGATTTTAGTTTCCATGCTATAATTTTTAGGTACCATTTTACAATGAGGCTCCCCTTTGTCGCTTGTAAATGGTAGTAACTCATTAATAAAAAGAAAACTATGTTATAATTTGTTTAAAATAGTCTACAGTATTAATAATTTACAAAGTGTTACAACCTAATTAATAACCAGATTATAAACCATTCATAAACCCTTTATATAGGTAGTCTTATTTTTTAAATGGCACCAATTTTTCTTTTCTCTGTCATGACACCCCTGATCTAGTTTTTAGAAAAATACGTCCCATCCTTGGGTAATCTGTTTCCTACCATAGACGCTGGTTCTGGGTAAGTCCGGCCCTTTGCATAAGCAGCACTGATCTCCACAAGGTTCCCATTCTGGACACATAAGTACACATCATCGTTCCCCTACAAAAACAACAAACACAGAACTAGCCATGTCAGGGTCAGCACCTGTTTGTCAGAGTCTTTCATGTCTCCTCCCCGTTTGGCCAGCAGGTGTCACTGGCCATCCTGTCCTCCCTGTTATCATGTTTTCTGCTGCTCATCATTTGGCTGCATAGCTCAGTGAGTCGAGCATGTTCCTACTTGTAATCCCCTCAGTTGTGTGTTCAGATCCTGCCTCCTCTGTTTTTGTATTTTCATAGATTTTGTTCCCTAGTGTTTCATTTGTTCCAGTTTTCTAGTTCTGGTGTATTCAGATTATTTATCCTGTCTCTTATTCCCCTAGTGGTAGATTCTGTTTCTTAGTTTCTCTGGTAGTTTGAGTTCCTTGAGTTAATTATTAGTTTCACCTGTTGCTTGTTCTGGTGCCGATCCTTGTGTGTTTCCTGATTGCTCGTTGTCCTGCACCCTCCCTGACAGGTTGATTGAGTTACTACTCCTTGCGTTACTACCCTTTTCAGTGTCTGTATTTAAGTTCCTGCCTTAGTTCAGTTCCCCAGTGGGTCATTGTTCTATGTTAGTTCTGTATTTTGTACTTTGCCAGCAGTGACCTCTAGTCAGGACAGTATGGCCCATAGTATCATGTGATGGGCATATTTTTCATCGTTTTATGTTTTTCACCATCACATCAACCACTGCACAAAGATTCTGCTTTGCCCATGGAACACAGCTGCAAGTTATTAGCAGTTACTTGCAAGTTACTCACAACTTATAAAGGGTCGAAACCCCTCTTTGATCTTAAAGTTTACGTTCTCAGCTGCTACAGTGTCAGCTGTTTGCCATCTGAAGATGGCCCGACTACTACACACCCACCATCCACTGGTCCAAGGACAGGGCGAAGGAGACGTATCCCGGGGCAGGCCCGCTGAGCTGGAACTGAACAGCCTGACCATTGGAGGCGAATGAGAGGTAGAAACACTGTGGGTCAGATTGCGGGTCACAGCCCACTGGATACCTGAGGCATGACATCGTGCTGCCACATCCCGCTGCACTGAACTGAGGGAAAAAAATAGAAGGGGAGAAGAATTGGGAGTGATTAAGAGCCAATGAAACACAGATAATTTAATCAAAAGTAAGGGGGACTATTTCAAGGGCCATTAATAAGACTATGCTGTGAAGTCAGTCACCGGAGCAGGCAACATGGAGCCGGGGGTGACAGTCATCCCTGGGGCTGGTGTTTGAGGACTCGCTCCAGTCAGCGATGCCACTTGACTCGGGACTTTTACCCAGAACACGTAGAAGCTCTGAACCACTGTGACTCTTGAAAGAGAGAGATTAACAAGTTTATTCCTTTCAATTATTGTGTTTAACTCGTCCCACAAAACTTCCTAAGAATAACTAGCCACCTTTCTGATGACCATGGCCAAAACTAAAGGGGTGGGGGCCCATAAGTCACTGTTAGGGTCTTATCTACATTATAAAATGCTGCTGCAACAGCCAGAAAAATATCAGGTGCCCCTGCGCTATAGCCCAGGTCAGCCTGTGCACGAGTCCAGCCTTGCTAATGTCAATAAGAGTCATCACAAACAACAGAACCTGAAAATATGGAAGACAGAATCTTAGGTTTTCAAAACTGCAAAAAAAATAAAATAAATAATAAAATCTTTGAGTACTTACAGAAACTGCACAGCGGAGGGTGCAGCCTTCGGGGCGTTCCAGGTAACCTGTATTTGCCTCAACTGGGCAGGACTAGTCTGACTGACAGCAGAACCCTAAAAATGATCGGTTAAGACATTGTCAGGATATTCCACATATGCCAATAACCACCACTACAGCAAAATACAGCAACATGACGCCTGGATGTGGCGGTTACTGGGACCTCAGCCCTGGCATTTAGCTGATGGGTTTCTACCTGTGTGGACCCACAGTTCAACAGCTGCGACTGCGAAGGATTCAGGAGAGTGAAGGTGCCGACCGGATTCCCGCTGAGCTGTGTGGTGGCACGAGCCTGGATTAAGAAGCCCATAAACGTCGCAGATGACGTAAGAGTTACTGAAATCAAAGGCACAAAACAATGACATTAAATGACTGACTTTAATAAAAAATATATAGGGGAAAAATACATTTTAATTAATCACGTCATATGCGTGCATGTGTAAGAAAGACTCGAAAAACAATACAGAATACCTTTAATTTTGTCTCCTGGGCTGAACGTAGTCTTATCCACAGTAACCGCGTATGGGCTGGGCGAATTAGAACTGGCTGTTTGGCCATGATTTGGCATCATGCTGGCGCAGGCCATTGTCACCTGCCCATTAGGATAACATTCAACGCCCACGATGCAGGCAGCCGCTACAAGCAGCAGGACGCTCCCCAGTCCCACAGACATCTGAAACGACGGCGCACAGCCGGTATTAAGTGTACCAGTATGCAAAAAAGCGCATGTTCATATTAAACAATATATAACCGAAGGTTATATATTAATTAACCTATGTTTTCTGAAGTTTTCTTATTAAAAAATTGTCCACAGTTTTGTCTTTTTACTACAGGCAAGTTTTCACATTGTCCAGTATATACATGAACGGGTATAAACTGTATAGGACGGTCTTATTCTCGGCTAAATTTGATTGCGTGATATATATATATATATATATATATATATATATATATATATATATGTAGGCTATACACATACATATAGCCTACATACACACACACACAAACAAACAACCACACGTACGCCACACCTAGCCAGTTCTAGCGGCGACAAACTAGTTGAAAAACTCTAAGATCTAAGAGCAGCACTTAGAGAACTAATCGCGAAGACACGTACATTATCAGTTGGGGTAAAGTTAAATGAATCATAAAGATAAAAAACTACAAGACGTATATAGCATTAATGAGCTTATCGGACGAATCGCAAAGTTTTATATATATGTATATGTATTGTGGTAGTCGAGCTGTTAAGATTACATATTTACAGGTCTTAAAGGCATGATATTAATCAGGCAGCAAAGCTGTTATAGGGGAAAACATAATATCAGAATAAGCGGGGAGGTAAAATCGAATTACACGAATTCAATTAAGCAACAATCGTAATCATTCCCATCACCCATCGCTCAGATAGAATAATAAACTTACTATAAAGAGTAAAGTATGCATGAACAATATTGAACAACTTAGCATAGTATAACCAAAAGCGCGAGAACTATAAGCGCCACGAGTGCTGTCACAGCCAAAATATATAATGTAGTATATAATGACAACAACAGCATTATATTAAATGTAAAACTCACTGTGTAATGGGCGCACAAGAAGCTGTAGTCTTAATCCTGCTATAGGCGTACGTCAAATTCACCACTCTTTCTCCAGCACCCTTTCCAAAATGATTCAGCATTTATTAAATTTAGGGGGCGGTATCACTCGGATCGGATGTCTTCTATAGGATAGACTCTTACAGGTAATTGCTAGTTTGATAATGAACTAGGAATAGTCCGAGGAGTTTCCTGCATAATGCGTATGGTCTTTAGAGGGCGCCATTAAATCGAGAAAACAATAATATCTATTATCAAAATCAGATATTCTTTGTATATTGTCACGTCCGGGAAGAACAGAACAGACTGAACCCAGATGCAGGAGGCCCAGAGGTTTATTGGGACACCGAACAAGAGACAAGTCCAAAGGGGCATGCAACAAGCGATGGTCGAGAAGGCAGGCAGAGGGTCGTGAGCCGGAGAGGTCAATCCTACGGGGAGACGCAGGACGGGAAGACAGGCACACCGGGAAACACAGATGAAGCAGGGCAGGGATCAGGAAGACGAGGCGGACAGGCAGGTCGGGCAGGACAGATGACGTTTCACAAAAGACAAGAGATGAAGAATGCTTAGTAGAGCGCATGAGAGCAACGATACTTCGCAACAGTGGTTAATCAGAGTGCTGGTTAAATAGATGATCGTAACGAGGCTTATAGTCACGTGGTCACGCCCACCGTGGGGTGACAGATATTGCATAACATGACACCGTACCAGCACAACATAATAAACAGCCGGTGTTTTCATTCTGTCTTTACACAAGATACAAGGTTCTGTGAGAGATATTAGCTCAGAAATCTAACACCAGTCTATGTTTTTAGCTTGGAAAATCACTTTTAGATTACTTGAATCTAATTTGTTCCTATTTAATTTAATAACATTCACTTCTATCCCTTTCAGTGCTTTCATTAATTCAAATGCATTGCCTTGTAAAAACATAGGAATATTTCAAACGTCATTAAAAAAAATTAGTAGGATATGTTTTATTGATTCCAGTCCGCAACATCTTTTTTTTTCTGCGCGCCAATTCCGCCAAGTACGACTTCTGGCCGCTGCTCCCGCCGCGCAGCAGTTTAGCGTGAATACTCCCAGCATCCTAGTTCTTTGTACTTCCTTATACCCTTAAAATGATGTTGAATAACGACTTACGAACATTTCAAGTTACGAACGGCCGTTCGGAACGTATCTCAATCGTTACGAACGGCCGTTCGGAACGTATCTCAATCGTGGTCTGTATTCATAAATATTTTTTTATTTATATGGTAATGTAAATGTAAATGTAAAAATGCAATGATCTTAAAATATGCAAATATGATACTTTATTTGTATGTTGATATATACTTTTATTCAATACTAATACTATTTTACACACATAAAAGAAGCCACTTCCAAGATCAGCAATGGACCTTGTGCCAATGGACATGACAGCCTAGGATGTCTTCCGGGAGTTACATCTATACCAGGCCCAAGGTAAAAACAGCTACGGATGGCTAACGAAATGGCCAATTCTCAGGCGGATAATGTCGTAGAAACATCCACAGCTCCTTGGAGTTGACGGTCGATGAATAAAACGTAGAATGTAGGATATCTACCACAAGAGGGAGACAAATCGATATTTACAGTTCTCCTAATGTTCCTTCTGTCTTGATAATAATAATAATAATAATAATAATAATAATAATAATAATATACTTTATTGATCCCTGTGGGGAAATTCTCTTTACACCTCCCCCGACTTACTCACTGGAGGTGAGTGCACCGCAGCAGTGCCCAGGGAGCTGGGGGTTAAGGGTCTTGCTGAAGGACCTACAGACATGGTGAGGCTGCACTCAAACCAGCAACCTTCTAATCACAAGCAGAGATGCTTAGCCTACTCAGCCACACGCTGCCCCCTTTGTGCTAATTAAACCAATTAAACTCATTTTCTTAAACACAGAGATGATTTGTGCTTTATATATATATATATATATATATATATATATATATATATATATATGCTTTATATATATATGCTCCTCTCTTCCTTGTTCGGGATGGCGTTTCGGCAGCTTGTTACGGCCGTAGAGGGCGTGTCATACGCGGCTCTGTAGTTTCTTGGAGTTAGCAACAGCTATTAAAATCAATGTTGATTTTTTTTATTTACAATAATCAAGAAATATCTGCGGTTGGTTGGCCTAACCATATCATTAATAGGCTATTTTTCTTTTTAGATTTTAGCACCTGAAAGCATACATTTTATATATTTTTCTATATATTCCTTGTAACTTCTGTAACTTTGTATATTCGTATTAAACACAGTCAGTGCTCACATTATAGCCTATAATCCCATTATAGATAGATGTATACCATCCATGTAGTGGCACGAGACAGCGTTCCCCTTGTCCACAAGGCAATTACATACAGACAAAGCGGGTTATATTACATGGACTTGCAAATCACGAGACTGCGTATAAGAAGGGACTGGACATAAAACTACAAAAAACAAGGCACAGCTGCAGGCAGCAAAGAACCTGCGACACGAGCACAAATTCCCATTTGTGAATATACGAGGTTCTTTAAGCAAAAAGCACTCCAAAATTCTTTAAGCCGTAACTTGTATTGTATACGCGCAAAGATATTTACGACCGTACATACTCGAAGACCTACGGTACTGCAAGAAACTACAGAGCCGCGTATGACACGCCTTCTACGGCCGCAGCAAGCTGCCAAAACGCCATCCCGAACAAGGAAGAGAGGAGCAGCAAGGTGACAAATCAACGATAACCCTTCTAAATAACTGTATTGTGCATTTAGGCTATTTGCGAGTAGGTATATGTCGATGAATGCAAAATGTACCCCCTTGGGAGGTTTGCTGAGCTAACCAATCTAGCCGGATAAATGTCCATTTCCTTCGAGACCTGCGGGAGTGTAATCATCCACTGAGTGAGGTCAGACGAAAGATGTCAGATGAAGGTGAAATATGTATAATCCTGCAAAAAGAGCATAATCCTCCTAAAAAGCTGCCCTCGCCTTCTCCGTTTCTCGATGCTGACCTTGCCAGCTCGACGTCCTGATCCAATCTATCAAAAGCTTGTTCTGTTTGTTTCAAACGCCGGTTTGGAAAAACGGTCGAGGCGCTGCCACCAAGGTAGTCTGCATGTCTGCCGGCGTAGACGCGTCTGCAAATTGGTGCGGGGGGGATGGACTCTACTGTAAAATTAATGAATAAAACAAAAGTGTAATTCATTATTTATTACGACACGTAACTGATACCCATCAGCGTTATGGTCTTTTTAAGTTGCGTTTGGAAATGTCACATCACTGGTCTTAGTAGAAATTGTTGCATGTGACATTGCTTATACTCGGGCCGGATACCTTCGTACCCTTTGCAGGGATTGATCTAATGATTTGCCTAACTGCAATATAAGGTTACTACCCCCAGCTGCCAAAAGGTTCTGTGGATCACAGTTATTAATAGGGTGCGTGATCGTGAGTGGCTATCTGGTGGCAGATATGTGTCTTTGCATAGAGATGACAGTCATGCTTTTAAGCACGTATCTGCTCTGAGCTCTCCAGACCAAAATATACAATATACAATACCGACAGAGCTGACATTTAGAGACTCGATTCCGTGCAGCTTGCCTGTTTAAACCCTAAGAGCAAACGTGAAAATGTAAGTGGTCATTTTGCCCGTTTGTATTTTCTTGCGCGATTACTTACGTTGTGTAACTGTTGTATTTAATGCATGGGTCTCCGTGTATTTGCAGGTGGCCACATATTTGTTTCCTACATTTAAAGGGCGTTCTACATAAATACAGTTAAAATGCTCCACAGCAAGCAAATCAGAGTACTGGTGCTCAGTGACATGGAGAAGCTTGAACGGGCCTTATTCCGCCTTGACCAAGGTAAATGACTAATTTATCTTAAAGTATTTTGGTATTTTCTCTATGCCATTTTTATACATGATTAAACTATCCTTCACCAAAGAACTATGTAGCAGGTGTTGATAGAAATGTTGCAAATGGCAGAAATCAGTGTAGTGGCATATACTTATACCACATATATCTGACATATATCTCGGAAGCAGTTTTAATCTTGCTCCTTGAAATCATTGTAAAATATCTCATAAATAATTGTTTTCTGTCGAACACAGGGCATCCTGTGGCTCATGTGGCTACTCAGAGTTTACTAAGAGCACTCAATGTAGAAGATAAGATTACTGCATAAAAGTATAGTTTCATCATTGTCGCAGCAGCTAATGGAATACTTGGATGACATGTATGCATACATTGACTTTTGATTACTTTCTAAGGCTTTTGCACCTTTGTACTTGTCTCGTAATAACTCCCCCCCTCCCCCCCATACATATCTAAATACTTTATAATACTTGATTGGGTTATGAAACAATAAGGTGCTCACCATTATTCACTTTAAATTAATTATGTCAAAGTGAATCTACATGGCATTTGGTATTTGTTCTTTTCTCTGAAATTACGCAAAACATGCATTACAATTTGCAAATCACACCTCCCCAAGAGATTTCAGTGGCATGTAAGTATCCTTATGGTGAACTTGCTGTAAGAAGCAGGCCTGTCATATTATCTCACTGACCTGTACTATGGGGTCGCTTTTGACCCCGGCTTGGGTGAAGGCTCACCCCGCATAACAGCCATTAGGTCTGGTCCAGAAGGGCCTAGAGCCCTGCACTCACCCTCCTATAAACGCCCTTAGGATAGCCACAGACCTGCTGATCCTCAGAACTAGATAAAGTGTCAAGGCTAGATGTTAGCATTTAGCTAGCAGCATTAATGGAACCATTTCCTGTTTGATTTATTTCACCCTGTCTGTCTGGGCTCATTCCCGTAAGGCTACGAGCTCCAGTTTCGCCTGGGGCCGACACTGCAGGGGAAGAACGTGAACGTCTACACCAACTACCCGGTCAAGGGAGAGCCATTTGACCGGCAGAAGTTTCATCTCCTGGAGTGGATCAACCCCACCGGGAGGGAGGATGACTCCGATAAGTTCTGTAAACTTGACCTGCAGGTGGCAGGGTCTTATCAGTATTACTTTGGCCACGGGTGAGTCATTTTGACAGTTTCTACTCTCTTCTATATTTTACATTCATTAATTTAAACAAGTAAAGCTAGCATTTAAGAGTAATGGTTTGACATTGTTCTTCAGCATTTCAGTATTCGGGAGCTTGAGATTTCAAACAGTGATGCATTTCCTGGTTTGTCAGTACTCGTTTGGATGTTTTCTGACACACGTGTCACATTCCCAGTGACAAGGAAAAGAACGGCAGTGGTTACATCGTGGTCGACCCGGTTCTGCGAGTGGGGGCTGACAACCACGTCTTCCCCCTGGACTGCATCACCATCCAGACCTACCTTGCGAAATGCCTGGGACCCCTGGACGAGTGGCCTGATAGGCTTCTAGTGGCCAAGGAATCTGGTAAGTTGGCAATAACTGAAGAATTGACCAATTGCCATTAAGTTGATCTAATTTCCCTAGCACCTGATTGGCTGATGTGCATAGGCTATTTCATTCATATATTTCTAAACTTGCATAGTAGTGTTTACTTGACTTACGACCTCCAGAAAATCACACAGCAGGCACCTGTCTTATCTCATAATGGGGGGGTGGGGTGGGCAAAAGGCTACCATTAATCATTAGCCCAAAGAATCATATGTAAACTTTAAACTTCAAACATGGTCTGTTCAAGAGTGTATAAACAATATTCTTGACAGAGAGGTGCTACCTGTACTAGACTGGAATGTCTTGTCATTATTTTCAGGCTACAACATGGTTCACTTCACACCCCTGCAGAAACTGGGTCTGTCACGATCATGCTACTCCCTGGCGGACCAGCTGGAGCTTAATCCCGAATTCTCCCCCCCGGGGAAGCAGTATACCTGGACAGACGTGGGGAACTTGGTGGAGACCATGAAGAAAGAGTGGAACATGCTGTGTATCACGGACGTGGTCTACAATCACACCGGTGTGTGTGTGTAGATTTGTATATATTACATTGTGAGAACCCAGTGTTTCCACAATGTAAAAAAAACATACTTTTTACTTTGTGGGGACATTTGTTTGGTTGCTTACGGTTAAG